TAAATTTATTGTCATGTAACTAGTTACTTCAGAAATCCAGGACAAATTTAGAATACTTTTTACTTACTATTAAAATTATTCCTAAATATCAATGTTGAACTTGTACTTCCAAAATTTAACTTCAATGCATTCTAGTTTTGTAATGTCAAAGAATATTATGAAGGCAAATGCAGTGGTGATTAGTGAAAACTATGAATTTAAGAAAAACAGAGTAGCCATATTTTTTAATTAAAAACTTCATAGGAGCTTTACAAAAATTCTTTTAAAACTGACAGTTGGCTGTGAGTTGATGAGTGCTGAAGCTGGATGTTAGGTATATATAGAGAGGGGAGTGTTCATTCTATTACTCTGTCTAGTTTGAATATGATTTTCCCCAAAGGAAAGCTTTGAAAATTTGAAGTGGGTGATTGCTGAAAATTTCAGAATGTTGTGGACCAAATTTTCTCCTCCTTTGTTCTCTGTTGTTATTCAGACGCCAAATAAAACCATAGCTATTTTCTGAATATATATTTGATTTTTGTTCACAAGAACTCCTACAGTTCAACCTAGTATGGTAGTAGGATGGCAAGAATACAAATCATGCTCTTTGATTTTCTTACCATTTATTACTTTTTTTATTGTAGATGTTTTTAAAAAGCTAACAACACCAAATATCTGTACTTAGCCAGTCACTAGAGACATTAATCTCTTAAGTGAGCTCTTGTAACAAGTTTGGAAACAATTGGTATTTGAGAGTGCATAATGTAAGGACAAGTGATTTGTCTTTCCTCTACATCATTGGTTCTCAAGCAGGGAGTTATTCCCCCCACGGGGACATTTGGCAATGTCAGACATTTTTGGTTATCACAACTTGGTTTGGAGGAGTGCTACAGGTCTACTGGGATACTTCTTCACATCATACAATACTCAGGACAGCCTCCCACAACAAAAAATTATCAAAATGTCAAGAGTGTTGCTGTTGAGAAACCCTGCTCTAGTTTTTCTAAGATGTAGGAATTCTTTTAGAGTAGACAACTAGGAATATATAACCAAACTAAATTCTTTTGATTTTCCATGGATGTATGCTGTTAAGAATTACGTTTTAAACATGCCTTCAGTTTTTACTGAGAATTAATATAAGAAGCAACATTTTTCTCTTCAAAATTCCTCCAACCAATTCCTTTTAAAGTTTAGTGCTGGGAAAATTGTCCTTCCTGATGAAGGGATATGTTTTCTTGTAACTCATTGTTTGCACTTTGCCTTCCCTCCCAAGAAGCTGTAAGAGCCCAGAGATCTTTTCCTTTGCTATATTGGTTTTTGTTTTATCCTTAGTGTAATGATCTGCGGGTTTGGGCTGTTTGTGTGCTTATAAAGTGAACAAAAAAGTAGTATGTAAGTGCCTCCAGTCCCCAGGCTTGATCGGATGTTTTCAGTGCTTTTTAAAAAAAGTCTCAATTTTTTCAGACAGTTAAAAAATATGTGCTTATTATAAAATGTAACCGTATATTAATGCAGATATGGAAAGTTGCTTCCCCATTTTTATTCTCTGGAAATTTATTAATATTTTCACCACAAAAATTTGAAATTGAATTTTAATTTGCAGTAAACTTAGAATTCTACTATGGGTGGTTGGGTTTGCATTCTTATGGTTTTTTTTTTTTTTTTTAAGATTTTATTTATTTATTTGTCAGAGAGAACACATGCAGAGGGAGAAGCAGGCTCCCTGTTGAGCAGGGAGCCTGAGAGTCTAATGTGGGACTCAATCCCAGGACCCTGGGATCATGACCTGAGCCAAAGGCAGACGCTTAACCAACTGAGCCACCTAGGCGTCCCTTACAGTTTCATTTTTGAATAGGATAATTACATTTCTAAAAACTGGAATAGAAACAATGTCTCAAGAAGATTACATTCTCTGATAATTTTTCTCTTATTGATATGGTGAAGACCAGTTATAAAAAATAGGTATCCAAAAAAGTACCGTATTTTCTTTGGTTTTTGTTTATTTTGAAGCATAGTTAATACATATGAAATCTTCCTAGCCCATATTTTGAATGATTCAGGATGACTCATAAAAAATTATTCAAAATGAGATTTTTATTTCTCTGAAGTTTTAAATACCAACATTATCACTAATATATAAATTTCTTTTTTTCTGTTACAGTAGCTCTCCCAAGTAGAAAGGAAAGCAGATTTTGTAATTTTTTTTTTTTAAAGATTTTATTTATTTATTTGAGACAGAGAGAATGAGAGACAGAGAGCATGAGAGGGAGGAGGGTCAGAGGGAGAAGCAGACTCCCCGCTGAGCAGGGAGCCCGATGCGGGACTCGATCCCGGGACTCCAGGATCATGACCTGAGCTGAAGGTAGTGGCTTAACCAACTGAGCCACCCAGGCGCTCAGATTTTGTAATTTTTTACTTAACATGCTCAGAAAAAGCTCAAAGATTATTTTTGCCTTAAAAAGAAATATTTAAAATGATAAGGTTACTACCTTGGCCAGTCTTTCATTTGATGCTTCATTTAGATACTAGTTGTGAAGTTTATGGATACTGTTGCTTTTAAAATCTTTTGGTTGAAATAGGAGGCTTTGAATTTGTTTCAAGTTCCCTTCGTACCTTGAGTAGTTTAGAGGAATAATCAGCTTTCAGATTTCTTTCTTTCTTTTTTTTTTTTTTTTAAGATTTTATTTATTTGAGACAGAGAGAATGAGAGAGAGAGAGCACATGAGAGGGGGGAGGGTCAGAGGGAGAAGCAGGCTCCCTGCCGAGCAGGGAGCCCGATGCGGGACTCGATCCAGGGACTCCAGGATCATGACCTGAGCCGAAAGCAGTCGCTTAACCAACTAAACCACCCAGGCGCCCATTCTTTCTTTTTTTTTTTTTTAATTTTATTTATTTATTTATTTATTATTTTTTTATTTTTTTAGTATTTATTTGACAGAGAGAGAGACAGCGAGAGAGGGAACAAGCAGGGGGAGTAGGAGAGGGAGAAGCAGGCCTCCTGTGGAGCAGGGAACCCGATGCGGGGCTCTATCCCAGGACCCTGGGATCATGACCCGAGCCGAAGGCAGACGCCTAACAAGTGAGCCTCCCAGGCGTCCCCCCCCTTTTTTTTTTTTTTAAGATTTTATTTGTTTATTTGAGAGAGAGGAGAGAGGGAGAGTGAGAGGGAGAAGCAGACTCCCCACCGAGCAGAGAGCCTGAAGTGGGACTTGATCCCAGGACCCTGAGATCATGACTTGAAGCAAAGGCAGATGCTTAACCGACTGAGCCACCCAGGCACCCCCGCTTTCAGATTTCTTAAAGTGATATTTAATACTGTCATAATGGTTATCATCTTTTCTTTTCATTTCTATGTTATTACCTGGTTCCATTTTCAGAGAGGGGAAAGTGAAGTAGGACTGGGGAGGAATTAGTGTCTGTTAATTGCTGCTTGTGCTAGGAATGGTGTGAGAGATATGAACAATTTTAGTGAGGTTTTTTCCAACTTTTTTGACTGCAACGCACAGTAAAAAATGTATTTTACATTGCATCCAGTACACCATTTCTTTATATCTTTATATAACAAATAAATGTTACAGGAAAAAATACTATATGTATATACAGTCTAGTATTTCTGTTCTTTTTCATTTAAAATCATTGCTCTTTACATTCCACTAAATTACAACCTGCTCTTTGAAAAATGCTGTTTAAATGTATTAGCTATCTGTGTTTGTGCAGAAATTCACCATCTTTTAGCAAATAGAAGACTGAGTAAAAACATATTTATCCTATGTGAACATTTAACAAATAGGATAAATTAATGAAGTATTTTGTAAGTATTTGTCATGATAAAATATAAGCAAACTTAAGGTTTTTTTTGTAAAAAGATGACTGTTTTTATATATATGTATATATTTTTAAAGATTTTATTTATTTGACAAAGAGAGACACAGTGAGAGAGGGAACACAAGCAGGGGGAGTGGGAGAGGGAGAAGCAGGCTTACCCACGGAGCAGGGAGCCCGATGGGGGGCTCAATCATAGGACCCTGGGATCATGACCTGAGCCAAAGGCAGATGCTTAATGACTGAGCTACCCAGGCACTCCGACTATTTTTATATTTTTATATTTATATTTTGTATTTATAATTTAGGCCTCTCTCTCCTTTTTTTTTTTGTAAATAAAAAGGCATTTGAACACCAATGGAAATTATACTAACAGGTTATTTTAAAATGTAACCAAATTTATACCTGGGGCTTTCTTTATCATTATGTTAGTTTAAATATTAATGGATGGGAAAAAATTAGCATTCTTTAACCCAAGGGTTGGCACACTTCTGTAAAGGCCCAGCTAAGAAATATTTTAGGTTTTGCAGGCTATGCACTTTGTTTTAACTACTCATCTCTGCCCTTGTAGTGTGAAAATATGTAACAAGTAGAATAGCTGTGGTCCAATAAAATTTTATTTATAGAAACTGAAATTTGAAGTCTGTCTAATTTTCACATGTCATGACATTATTTTTCTTCTGCCTTTTTTTTTCTTTCTTTTTTTAAAAGATTATTTATTTTATTTATTTGAGAGAGAGAGAATGAGAGAGAGCACATGAGAGGGGTGAGGGTCAGAGGGAGAAGCAGACTCCCTGCTGAGCAGGGAGCCCGATGCGGGACTCGATCCAGGGATTCCAGGATCATGACCTGAGCCAAAGGCAGTCACTTAACCAACTGAGCCACCCAGGCGCCCCTTTTCTTCTGACTTTTAAAAACCATTAAAACATGTAAACACTACTCCTGGGTTGTAAAAAACAAAACAAAAAACCACTTCAGGTTGTTAAAAACAGGTTGTGGGCCAGATTTGGTCTGCCAGCCATGATTTGCCAACCCTTGTTTTAGCCTAAGAATGGAGAAAGCCAGTAGGTCCAAAAAGGACAAAATTTAGCAGTTGGGGTTAAGTATATGAATAATGATGTTAAATCTATGAGCATTTATATTTTGATTTTTCTGGGCAATAGAGCTATACATTTTTATGTTGTGTTTATATTTTGCAGACCGTTGATATTCATAAAGAGAAAGTTGCAAGAAGAGAGATCGGTATTTTGACTACCAATAAAAACACTTCAAGGACACATAAGATTATTGCTCCAGCCAATCTTGAACGACCAGTTCGTTATATTAGAAAACCTATTGACTATACAATTCTAGATGATATTGGACACGGAGTAAAGGTAAGTATAATTTTTGTCAACCTTTTAAAAACAATAGTCCATGATGGAACTAACTCTTTAGAAAATTAAGCTTTTGTCTTTTCTTTCCTGGAGGCCCAAGTTTTGGCCCAGTTGTGGTTCTGAAGATTCCTTGCTGCTATAACTATTTTATCCTTCTTGCTGCTTCTTAGTGCTGTGTTTTCAGGTTTTAAACAGCCATCTTTAAATGAATTGCGTTTACTTAACCAGTTATGAGACTACCTCATATAGATCGGGCAAATAAGTGTGGTCTAATTTTTCTAATCTTTTAATGATTTAATATGACTGATTAAAAAATTACTCAGCATGTTCTTAAAGTATCTACCTTATCTCAAACATTTATCAACAAAGCTTTCGCATTTTCAGAAGGAACATGTATAAACAATCATGTGCTTTGAAACGTTCTAAAATAATTTTAACATTTTGGGTGAGAATAGTGTAGATAAAGGTAATATGTGAATTAATATTTCCACTGCTTTTGAGTATGTAGCCATTATATATTTTGGCTATTTTTTTTTAATGTATTAGAGTGTCTGCTGTATATGTGTAGTGCCATGATCAAAACTGAGGTGCATATAAATTTCATTTACATTGGTATTTATACTTAAACTATTTGGAGCTTCCTCTAAGTATTAAGTTACTTAAAGCTTTCATCTTAATCAGTGATTTGAAAGGCAATGACTTATCAAATGTGACTTAGAATAAATATTTACATACGTGAGAAACTATAGTTTATACAGTTGATGTATGTCTATATAAGCAAATTTAAACTAAAAAAAATACCCTACTACTATGGCTAGAAATCAGTTAAATGTAAATTTAATGTAGATCTAGGTAAAAGAAAACATACAGTGTAAACTTTAAAAAAATTTTTTTCTTAGAATTTTGATATAAGCACTATTTGCAATTTGATATTTAATTTTATAAAATATTTAAAATTTTATAATTTTGAGATTTATTCAAGGCTAATAACTGCTAATAGAAAATTTTAGGGTAATGCCAGAATCTAATTACAAAAGGCACTAAGAGTATAAAACATAATATTTGTGCTTGTCCACTTATATAATAAACACATGATTTCCTTCCCACTCCAATTCTTTCTTAATTCAAGTAAAGGGTTGTTCTTTTGGGACTCTGTAGTCTTTCTTGTTATTTGGACTTTTAGTGTTTAGGGGTCACTATTTGAAGAAATTTTTAATAAAGTTAAGTTTTTGAATAAAACAATGTCATATAATTTCATCAAAAAAACCCTCCTGTTCATGACACATTCTGCTTTGACCACTCTTTCTATGATCTACTGAAACATTATTTTTTAATGCTGAATGCTTAACTTGTTTTTTCTTTGTTTTTTCCTTTCTCTTCACATCCTGAAGTTCCAACTAACCTTTCAATGCTTTTTTTCCTTACCTCTTTTATTTGCTCCATTTATGCATTAAGTGGTTGCTTAGATTTAAGGTAAGAGATTCCAGGGCTGGATTTCCATTCTTTGTTCTTATGTAGAATATTGCATATGGGGAGTGAAGAGATATTTGGCACTTGGCCTTCTAAAATCAACAAATAATTCCTCTTTTTAATTTTTAAAAATTTTTGTCATGCAACTCTGTGGTGTGTCTTCATGTTCTGTGAGGGCAGATTTTTTGTCTGTTTTGTTCACCACCCTGTCCTGTGTGCCTAAAACAGTGCCTGATGCATACATTAGGTGCTTAATAAATGTTTTTGAATAAATGCTTATTTTGCAATGTTAATATATTTTGTGAAACTAAAATATAAGTTACCCTATCATAAAATGTCATTATGAAGTAAAATTAGGTGGACTTTTGTAAATGTAGAATTTATTTTATGGATTGGAGGGCCAATTAATGTGCTTTATTTAACCCTCCCCCTGTGTAATAGCCTTTTTATTCTATAAATGGTGTGCTTTATTATACACCTTGTGGCCGGTATGTCATTATCTCTTGACTCTTATTCAATGTAAAGAAATTGAGAAGTGGAAAATACTCAGTGTTACAGTTTTTTTTTTAAGTTGCAGTATCATGTATTTTGCAAAAAGCAAAATTAGTTTCTCTTTTCCAAATTGCTATATAAGATATATATTTCAATATAAACTCACTCTAAGCGTTTTACTAGCTGAATATTAATTATATCAAAACATCAGAAGTTCATGAGTGTTTAACAAAATACACATTAAGAATTAGAGAAATATTTGTTTTAGTAACACTTTAGGGTTTGTTTTTTCACATTTTAGTATTTTGGAGAATTAATGGTAAAAGACATTCAGGTGTATTCAAGAAGCATTTAAATAGAAGGTTGTTAAAATTATTTCACCAAACTGAGCATGTATTTCCTTTTTGTTCTTATTTTCTTAGCTGAACTTTATAATTTCTTTTCAAATACATTTTCTTTCCAAAGCCCTGTTATTTGCCATGTCTTCAGTATAGAAAGTGGTAACAAGAGGATAACTGAGATCTGAATCATTAGCTACTAATACTAACCATGGCCACAGACATTTCAACAGATCCTGGTAGAGAGATATGACTAGAGGAGTCAAGCAAATAAACTTGTTACTGAGTAGAATGTTGGGTCCAAGCCCTCAGTCTTGGTGAGTGGGGCATGTGGAATTGTGAGGATATTCCTTCTGCATTAAATACAAAGAACTAGACCCAAAGCAGTGGGTGACTACCTTGGCTGTTTTCCTGTAAATACTATATTCAAATTTTAGCTATTGATGTGTTTTCTCCAATGTGATAAAAGTGCACAGAAAGATTACCTGAAGGAAAAACACAGAAATGGACCAATTCTTTTCCCCTTAATTTAAGTTTAGACCAGCTTGCTTAAGCTACTATCCCATGATATTTCCTCCGAACTCTACTATGATTCCTTCTTGACCTTCCTGGATTCAGGATCTGTTCCAGGTGGGAGATAGACCAAAATGAGTAGGAAATGAGAGAAGTCCCTAGAAAGCAAGAAAATATCACACTTGTATTAGATTCCTTAACGTCTTTGCTGTGTGTACCAGAAAGCTTCACTCGTGAGTACTGTGGCTCTATGTAGGTGTTTCTGCAATATCTGGGTAGAGTAGCCTGGTAAGAAGAGTACCCTCAATTCATCCTAGAAGCTAGAATGCACCAGTGCTCTGTCTTTTCTTTCTTCCTGTCCTCCTTGTGAATGTCTGTCTTCTCTGTAAACTTTAGCACATGGTTAATAATTTTAAGTGAACCAAAACAAAGTAGAGTGAAAAAAATGTTCAGCGTAGAGGGCCTGGGTGGCTCAGTCATTAAGCTTCTGCCTTCGGCTCAGGTCATGATCCCAGGGTCCTGGGATCGAGCCCCGCATCAGGCTCCCTGCTGGGCGGGAAGCATGCTTCTCCCTCTCCCACTCCCCCTGCTTGTGTTCCTGCTCTCGCTATCTCTGTCTATCTCAGATAAATAAATAAAATCTTAAAAAAAATGTTCATGTAACAAATTATTTCTCTTTTGATTCTGGTATTGAAACATGAGTGGTTTTGGAAGGGTTATTAATGGAATAATTTAATACATTAAAGTAGAAAATAGAATTAAAGAGGAAATGTTATAGTTGGAAGGGACTGCAGATAGTAAACTAGTGCAGTGGTTTCCAACTGATCTTGGAGACCTGTGGATTATATCAAGGGCCCTAGAGGTCTCCTGATGTTTGTTGGTAGGATTATCTGCTACTTTGATTTCCTCAGTTCTCTATGAACTCTGTGTTTACTCTTGTTGCTGTCAGACTTTTGATGCCTCTCAGGCAGACTCTAAACAAAGATCACACTTTGAGGCCATACACATGGGATTTGACTTAGAAGAATCCTCCATACCAGAAGTTGAATTTTTAACATTTTCTATAGCATGTTCTCATAGTGGTTCATGGTCCTTTTCATCTGAAATTTAGGTTATTTTTTTCTTTAGTTGACTGGGGAGAACAAGTTGTAGAGTTTAATTCATCAGAACTTTGAAAACAATGTGGTGATATTTTTACAACAAAAGACATAAAAAGCTAAAGGATGGAATGCCATATTGGAAGTGTTTTCATATGTACCTGAGGCCATAGAAAAATGGAATTTACCTTGAACTGGGATACCTTTATTTGAAATGGATTTTTCTTTTGAAAGCAGTGAAGTTGTCCCTCATGAAGCTAAGCTTTAGTACTTTTTAAATAAATATATTAGTTTAATAAAAAACAGTAAGGACTACTAATCTGTTAGTGTAGTATGTATTTCAGGTGAATATGTTGTGCAAGCAGATTCTAAATAATTAATGAGGAGGGGTTAAGGATTTGTTTTACAACTAACACATTAAGAATATAACACTTTTGAAAATTTTGCTTGGGATCTTTAAGATCCTTAACTTAACCCTGTGTAAAAAATGGCTTTAGTTTTTTACTTGAGTGTGTTCTTTAACAGTGTTTGTCATTCTCTACAGAAGGATGATAAATTGCTTCTCATATTTCCAGCTTTCACATGCAGCTGAGGGTTCACTCTTGAGCATTTATCTGACACATTATTTGGAGGAAAAACTCCAAAGCAGCAACCCTTGGGAGACCCATCTGGTTTTGCCTATTCCAATCTTAAGCCACCAATTCTATTTTGGCAAAGGCCGGTTGTCACAAAGTATTTTTAAAATCAAACAAATTTGCTCCTCTTTATTCCTCTTGTCCTTCTTTCTTTACCTCTCTTCCCCCTTATTCCTACTCTTTTATTCCCTTATATCTGTATTGGATTATTTCAGGACTCAGTACCTTAGGCTTTTTGTCTTCCTCTTACTAAAAATTTTACCCCTTCTGAATTCATAGTCAAACTCCAGATTACAGCTTTGATTTCCCTCAAAAGATCTGCTGGTCCTTTTCCTGTTAGCCCTGGGAATTGAAGTAGGAACATATATCCCCTGAGGAGAGGGATAGAGCCTCTAGGAAGCCCAAGAATTATGTCCTGGATGGGACTATGGGAAATAATACTGGACAGTGAATGAAGGCCCAGAGGTGCCTGACCACAGCTTCTGCCCATCCTCACTATTCCACATCCAGATACAGACTATACATAGTCCTCTCCTCTCTGTGTAGTGAAATCCTGCTTTTTTTTTTTTTTTTTTTTTAAACAACAGTCCAGCTTAGATTTTTCTCTAAACCTTTCTGTAGTTTTTCCTTCTCATATTGATACTTCTTTTTTGGAGATTTCTATATAATTTGTAGACATTCCTTTTTGCTTAAAACATAGGAGTCTTATTCCAAAATGCTATAAGTTCCTTAAAAGCAGACGAATCATTTTATAGGCCTTTGTGTCCCGTTCCACCCCCAACAAATGTCTCCCTTAGTTTTCATATTTCTTTACCCTTGTACCTAGTAGTCTGGTAGGTGATAAGTGGTTGATAAATGAGGGATATACCACAGATACCATTTTAGAACGTGTCTGCCACTATTTTATCATAGCAGGTCATATGTCAGTGGGAGATTTCTTCATAGCAGAAGTGATGTCCTTTGTGAACTAGAGATACCTGGCCAGCCAGCTTTATAAAAAATACTGAAGTTCACAGGGTACTAGAAAGCACTGAGTTTTCTGATGAACATTATATTATGATATATCAAGGTTCAAGGAGGTATTGAATGTACCAAAAAAGCATGGAGGAAGAAAGGTAGGAGCATTGTAGAAAAAATATTAAGGCATAAGAATGGGCCTGATGCTTGGTGCTAGTTGTAGAGATCTCCAAAGCCTCAGAAATAGGACCACTCTTTGAACATAAAGGAACTTTTCTACCTCCAGTTTTATCTGCATTCCTTAGTCACAGGCTAGTGGCAAAGTATTTGAGCTTTATCACTTAAATGAAATATTTCTTCTGCTTTGAGGGTTTTTTTTTTTTTTGGTAGGAAAAGAAGCGGGGGGGATGTTTCCTACTGTTCCTCCTTATACTTAATACCTGCTTTACTTAGCTCTCAATAATGACCTTCCCCTTTATGGAAACAAAAAATACCCACATAATTGAATGATTGTTGCAGTCAGCCACCAAACTTCATTCTGATTCCCAAATAAAACTTTGGAAAGTATGATGAGCAATCCCACTGATGGTTCAGGACCATTAACTACATGTTAATGTATGATGATAGTTCGGTTTATGTTTACAATTTGTTTAAAGTTTCATGTGGAATTGCTGTTATTGAGTGGGTTTTCTTTGTCCCGACCTCATGGTGTGTTCTCTCTTTCTCTGTCTCTGTCTCTTGGTCTCTCTCCCTTGAGGTCCCCTTCACCATACAGTTTAGTCCTCCTGTGTTTTGCTGCTTGTGAGGAAATGTTGTCTCCCCATAAACTTCCCTCAAAATAGTGTTTAAGACCATGGCAGCTATCCAGTAAACTTTTTTATCAAATGATTTTATATTTGAAATATACTTTCTTAAGTTTAATTATAATACAAATCCTACCTATGATAAACAAATTAAGTTTTATTTGGCAGTTATTCCTGTTCTTTTCCCTTTTCCTCAAACTAGATGGCAATATTTATATATATATATTTTTAAGATTTATATATTAGAGAGAGAGAGCACAAACAGGAGTGGGAGCAGAGGGAAAGGGGGGGGCGGAGAGAAGCAGAGTCCCTACTGAGTGCAGAGTTCCACGAGCCCACGACCCTGAGAGATCATGACCTGAGCCGAAATCAAGAGTGGGGTGCTCATCTGATTGCACCACCTAGGTGCCCCCCAGTATTCATGTTCTGCATAGCATATTTATTGTTTTACTTAGCATAGAAGCATTTTTCACAAAGGAAAACCACCTTGAAGAAATATTGAAAAACTCTTTTAGCTTAATATAAAGGTACAGTATCAGTGCTGTATAAAATTACAGATTTTTTGGACATTCTGCAGGGCCTCTTTGGTTTCTTCAGTGATTTAAGTTACTTATCCAAACTCCATTAACCAAGCAGATACAGTCATTTGATGATCCTACAGATCATAAAATGTATCAAGTTTTGTTTATGGAAATGTCCATCAGATTTTAATTTATAGATTGTTTATTTTATATTTTTTAATTGATTAAAAGATTTCTAGAAGATACTGCAATTTAAACAAAAACACCTCAGATACCAAAACATTGAAATCAAAGTTGGAAAGCTGTTTTCAAGTATTTTAGCTATTCCATGTATAGAATAAAATTCTCTTTTACTTTTTCTGTCCCTGCTCCTTTTCCTTCCCGTTTCTAGCAAATTGATGTAGTTTAGTGTTGGCTCACCTACTTCTCCCTTGTCACTGAAAGTAACTTTGGGTTTTATGTTGTTTAAGGTTGAGCTTAAAGGACTTTGGTTACTACTTATAAAAAATCTTCTGGTATCATAAATGAAGATTACAGTTTGAAAAGCTACTGGTTACTCGTCATATTACTCCTAAAATTTTCCCCAAATGTGGATTGATTTTTTTCAAAACTTTTTCTGGCATTTTCATTTGAAGATATGATTAGCATACCCTCTGCTTATTAATGAGGGGGAGAACAAGGAGAAGTTAATCTTTATTCTTACTTGATAACTGGTTTGTTTTGTATTTATTGTTTAAAAGTAACAATAAAAGGATTTCAGATAAATGCTTCACTTTAAAAATATTGACATCTGAAAGGTATCATTTATCATTAAAGATTGTTTTAACATCACACACAACTTGTTCACTGGGCTATTCGTTTGAAGAGTTTGTTTCTGGATATATTACTTCTTGCCTATTCAGATAACAAGTAGTATTTTAGGAGTTTTAAAAATATCATTTAAGTCAGAGTTACTTTTGACAGCTTCAATACTCTGTATACGATTATGATTTGTTTTCTTAAAATTTATATTTTGAAATTACAATTATAAATGTATTCTGATTTCAATGGTGTACTGTCTTGCAGTTTCATTTTATAAGTATAATTTGAATACTCCAGATATATTCTTGTTAGAAAAGTTAAGATCCGCCCCCCCCCCCTTTTTTTTGAAGTGTTTGGCAATCCAGAATATTAGGGGCTTAAAATAGGGTCAGGTATGAACCTATATGTTGACCATTTACTCTGACCCATTGGTAATCTCAAACAATTTGAGATTGCATTTGAACTATATTTGTGAATGACTTCTCTTACCCCTTTAAGACATCCAGATTTCTAGAGCTTTCTGTATAAGTTCTGATATACTTCTTTGGTGCCATCAGTTGTTCCCAGATTACATTACTCTCCTACCCTTGCATTTTAAGTTAGAGATAGAATAGTGAGGAGTAATGGCCCAGCTCTGATTTAAGACTCTGTTACATCTTTCCCATAATCTTTATTTTGGGCCTGAGTGGGTCTAATTCCCAGTGAAACTAGGACATTGCCAGTGGCCCCTGTATTGCTCATAATTGAATGGGATACCTCAGCCCTAACTTTCTAGTTCAGAGGTTTAGGAACATGCCTTAACTTCTGGCAGGTTTCAGGTGGGTGATTCCTTAATAAGAGCACATTAAAGAAATCTGAATTGTAAGGCTGATCCACTATTTTAAAAACTGAAAATTTTTTCGGTATATCACACAATTTACCTATTTTATATTCTCTAGTTACAGTGGATCAAAACTATAGTGCATATTTTATTGGGAAATGTGTTTTTTTTTTTTTATAATTGCCATCTAAAAAAGGAATTGTTTAAAGGCATTGTTTTTGAGTTTCTCTTTACTAAAACTAAAGTTCTTATAGTTATCCTATTGAATTTCAATTAAATTTATTATCAAATAATCTAACCAGTGATCTGTTGGTGTGATGGCCTAATGGCAAATACAGTCTTTGCATATAATTATGTTTACAGTCATTTGAAAATCTCATGTTAGGGAGAGTCCTTTGAGTACAACTGTAGAATAACAGTAGAGTAGAAATTGCATATGAAATGCATGGCCTCTAATTTTTTTTTTCCTCTTTAAACCTTACCCTCCTTTGTTAAATAGCATAACATTATTTCCCACAAGTGATATTTTGTTTCACTACATACAAGTTTTGATTGTTCCTCAACATTTTTTTAGGTGAGTACCCAGAATATGAAGATAGGTGGGCTGCCACGTACGACACCTCCAACTCAGAAACCCCCCAGCCCTCCCATGTCAGGGAAAGGGACACTTGGGTAAGTATGTAACTAAGTAATAATTGAAAACCATTTCATGTAGTGTTGTTGAAAACTAAACACTACATACATTTAAACTATTTTTTAATATTTGAAACAAGAACATTTTTCTCCCTAAGATTAACTTTTTTGTGTGTAACTTTCCCTTTTTCTGGGAAACCTCTTTATACTTTAAAGAGATTTTGTTTAAACGTTATTTTTCTAATAAATTTTAAATTTGAGGTAAAATCCTAGTCCAAGTTCATGATTTATTATAAATTGCACTCTAATTTCAGAAAAATTTTAGAGTATTTCATATTACATTTGACTATGCTTATTTAGACTATTCTTGTGAAGAACACTGTGTAGATTACAAAATTCTGTATATTTTGTGTTGTTATGAGAATATCAAGCTTAATTTAGTCCAGCAGAAGTGAGCTCTGGATTTGACTTCTGGTAGAAATGGCCAATTAATGTAAAAGCGTCTAACATTTTTCTTCTGTAGCATCATAGTATAAAAATTCGGTTTATTGTGGCACCTGGCTGGCTCAGTCAGAAGAGCATGCAACTCTTGATCTCAGGGTTGTGAGTTCCAGCCCCATGTTGGGTGTTGAGATTACTTAAATAAAGAAATCTTAAAAAAATTTTATCATGGAGATTTGTGATCAGATGGACATAATATATCCCAGAAGCCAGATGACTAAAACTGTGGTCCAGTTCTGCTCCTGCTCTTTTGTCTTGCGTAGTCAGCCTCTTTGCAATTCAGTTTTTTCATCTGTAAAAGGGGGTAATAATTGTCCTCTATTAACTTTTCAGAGTCATTGTACCACAAATTGGATTTTTAAAAAATGTATGAGACAAAGACAAAATGCTTTGACAACCATTGGCTTTATTATATATGCTTAACAATTTTTTAATTGGCAATGTTGTTTTTGGCCCCCTCACCAAAAAAAAAAAAGAGAAAATGACAAAAAACCTAATTAATCACCATGGGTCAGGGCAGAACAAAGATGAGTTAGGATATAAAAGAGGATAGTGTTGGAAGAAGAGTTACAGTTAGGACAGTGGGAAATAAAAGAATAAAAATGAATTCCAGCGAGAAATAAGATGATTTTATTTGGGGTCAACAAAACAAATTCTGCTTAGATTAGAGAGGAAATTAGTAGATCAAATAAGATTTAAACTTCAGGGTCGAATGTTGATGACATGATAGGGTGTAATTGTGCAGAGGTAAGAGTAGAGAGATCAAGAGGAAGTATTTATTTTCCTATGGAATGTCTACATTTCTATCATTTGTAGTGCCTAACAGATGTTGTTAGCTTTTAAGTCAAGATGGTTAGCAAAGTAACCCATTGTCATCTCGAGTAAAATAAAACTTGTGTTGCTCTCAAATTTTGAAGATTTATTCATATACCAGAATTTTTTCCCTTGTGTATTAGCAAGGGTTCTGCAGGGTCATTGGAGACCAGAGCTGCTGAACACCACAAGCCAGTTGATGATCACAAACCTGGCTTTTTTGCATAGTGTTTGCCTAGCCATCATATTTTGTTCTTTTGCCCCTAATTTTTTACTTTGTTTTTGTAATTGCCTTCATTGTATTGTTCTCAGTCAGCAAAGGGTTTTTTCTTGCATGAAACAGAATGTTTTTATTGTCTGGGAAAATTGGAAATCAGATGTTTGGAAATTAATGTTTCCTATCTTATTTTTTTTTATATTTACATTGTAATTTCAGAGATGCCTAAACTTTTTAGTATTTTAAATCCAAGTTCCTGGCATTCCTTTTTCTTCTTTGGACCCAGTATCTCATTTATTGCCCTTTACTTCTTTTTAATTATTAATGTACACATGTATTTATGCAAGATTTTGAGGGTAGTAGAGTGGACAGGGTCAATGCAAAGTGATCTCACCCAAAATCAATAAACCATAACTTGAATAGCCCAGGAGAGCAGTTTTTAAAGGTACCCTGCAACTTTGCGGGGAGTGAATTATTGAGAATTTTATAAGGGAGCAACATCATTTCAGAAAAAGAAGGCTTTTTAATTTTCACTTCTTGAGATCCCAGTTTTTATTCTCTCAGAAACCATAATCTTATCTGCAAAATGTCAGCTTCATGTCAGTTGAGTATTTATCATTGTCATAAAGAATTTAGAAACTTAGGGATGAGAGCTAATTTAATAATCACTAATGTGCCATTGTGCATCCTATTTCTGATCATATTTCCTTCCTTTTCTCATTCTCTTCCTTTTAAAGGAAATTTTGAGAAGAAGGAAATATATTAATAAAATCCAGTCCTTTTTGTGCTTTACAGTTCAAAACAAATAAGGTAGAAAGACTTAGATGGTCTTGTCTTTTTCTCTCCTTTTTAAATGTTGAACTCTGAGGATGTGGGGCAGGAGGTAAAAGAGAGCAAGGTTAAAGTTGAAGGAGGTGAAATGAGAATGGAGGGAGATGAGATTAACTTGTGTATTTCTGTGTATGGATATAGTTCAGTTTCTGTGTATTTACTCTATGGAAAGGGAAATGACTTGTTATAGTTGCTGTTGATCTTCAGTGTGGGGGTTGTGGAGCCAAATTCTGGATTTATTTACCCGATCTTTGAATATCTTTGGTTAGGGAGAGAGGGGTGAGGAAGATAATTAGTGCATTCATGCAGTGCAGTTGGGAAACTTTTGACACAGTACTAAAATAATTTGAACTCATCCCCCCCCCCCCCCCCGGCCAAAAAAAGAGAAGAGAGTCTGGGAAACACTGGCTTACTTGGGAGAATCTTTGTGCTGTCAGAAAATGAGTGAACAAAATTGCATTAGTACAGGGAAATGAGGTTTGAGACTAAAGAATAGCAATACTCCTCAAAACCCTAATGGCAGAGAAGTGATACTAAAGGAAAGACTGAAATTGGTAGCTGGGTTATGTTAAAACATGTTCCTGTCTCTGAATACAAATTGTATTTCACTACTGGCAACTCTTTGAATTTGTTGTGCCGAAACTTGCTAATCACACAATACATACGCTCTTCTTTTTGTAGGCGGCACTCCCCCTATCGCACACTGGAGCCAGTGCGTCCTCCAGTGGTACCAAATGATTATGTACCTAGCCCAACCCGTAATATGGCTCCCTCGCAGCAGAGCCCTGTGAGGACAGCTTCTGTGAATCAAAGAAATCGAACTTACAGGTATTTTCTCTCCCTCAGTGCAAATGTGAAGGTCATAGTACCATAATTTTAGATTACTTCAGTTAAATCTCTCTCCTTTTCCAAGCACTAAGTTCTTTTCCTCACTCTACTCCCCCAGACCTCATCTGAATCCACCTCTCTCTCCTCATGTTCTGATGCAGCTTTGAGGTCAGGAAGTTGGGAAAAAAAAAAAAAACCAAAAAACAGAAAAAACAGACATCTTAAAATACAAACTTCTCTACAAAATTAATAGTTATAGTGGACCTGAAAAAAAGTTATGGACCAGATGTGGGAAAAATAGTTACAGATCGGATATGGGAAACTGCAAGTTGTTTTTTGGTGGAACTTTACAGATGAAAAACTATACATAATAAAACAGTAATATGGGATGGTACATCAAGATATCATTAGAAATAAAATTAATCAACCTGTTTAGGAAAACTGTGTTTTTATTATAAAACAAGTTTCTTCAGAGCATAAAAGTAATACTATTTTTACGTGTTGAACCCTATCACTTACCACTTATATTTCTGCAGAATTTTTCCTTCTTTCTCAATGTCAATTTCAACCATCTTTTGATGCTTATTAAAAGGTGGTCAGAACAAGTTTCTTGAACTCAGTGTTTTTCCTGTTTTACTCAAATTAGTACATGAAGTGGAGGGTTTTTGCATTATCTTTCCTTAGCAGTACTCATTTCAGAAAGTTTGGGGAAATGCGGGTGGTGTCTGACTGTATATAAATAGTCCTGTTTGGGCGGCTCTCCTTTCTTCAGCAGCAGCGGGAGCAGCGGCGGAAGCCACCCGAGCAGCCGTAGCAGCAGTCGCGAGAACAGTGGAAGCGGGAGCGTGGGCGTTCCCATTGCTGTTCCTACTCCGTCTCCTCCCAGTGTCTTTCCAGGTAACACATGAATGGTGCCTCATCTTCGCTGGTCTTCTTTGAATTTGAACTCAGTTTCTGACTTAATTATAGGGGGCTTTCTTCCTAATCAGGATTTTTTTTTCCTTCAGGACTCCATAAATGTTGGGGAACCTTTATGCATTTGTCATTTTTAACCAAGCGATTTCTGAGTTTATGCTCACATGCGTCTCTGTTATTTGGCTTTGGCCTTTGGTGCCATGGCTCAGTTGGTCCTTTGAGGTTTCAGGTACCTCCTGGGTATGACCACGTTTACTTCCAGGTAGTGTTACGACATTGCATATGTTTGGACACAGTCCGTGTTAGAGTCACATTGGTAACAAAGGATTGGACAAATTTAACGGTAGTTCTGGCAGTTAAATTTAGTGGACTTTTGGAACTTAATACTCTCTGAAATACTACCCTTTTTTCCCCCCAAAACATAAAAATGTGCTTGTTTAATGTGAAGACACCGAAGTTAAAATTTAGTTTTAAAAGCATGACACAGAAGACCTAGGGATAGAATTTTTAAATTTAATTTGCTTATCATGATACCAAATAGATAATATCTTTTTAAAAATCATGAAAAAGATTTGTGTTTTTCTAAAATTTTTTTTTTTAAAGATTTTATTTATTTATTTACTTATTAGAGAGCGAGCGAGAGAGAAAAGCATGAGAGGGGGGAGGGTCAGAGGGAGAAGCAGGCTCCCCGCCGAGCTGGGAGCCTGATGCGGGGCTCGATCCCAGGACTCCGGGATCATGACCTGAGCCGAAGGCAGTCGCTCAACTGACTGAGCCACCCAGGCGCCCCTTTCTAAATTTTTTTTTACCTAATATGTTTTTGTCTGGAATATGTGTTTATTTTCTGATTTTTGTAATTCAAAATGGAATACTGTTTCCTAATGTATTATGTTTTATATATTATTTACAAAATACAGTGCTAAAAATTACAATATAAAGGGAACATCTTTCTTCCAGAGTAGTGGCTTTCAGGTAAAATGGAATGCTGTTTTTAATGAATTAAAAAATCTGTACATTACCCTGAGCATTTTGAATTATTTGCTGCAAACCAAATAATCCTTTAATATAAGCTTCATTCTTTTTTTTTTTTTTTTTTTTTACCATTCTCTTCTATTCTTTGGTTAGTGTTAAGCACTGAATATTTAACATTAGGTTCTCTAATGCCTTTTCTAATCCCACCTAATGGGCCTGCCTCATTAATGCTGCCTCTTACTCCTCTTTCCCCTCAGCCCCTGCTGGCTCTGCTGGTACTCCTCCCCTTCCTGCTACTTCTGCATCTGCCCCTGCCCCTCTTGTTCCTGCTACTGTCCCTTCCTCCACTGCCCCAGACGCTGCTGCTGGGGGGGCCCAGGCCCTTGCTGATGGCTTCACTTCTCCAACTCCCCCTGTTGTTTCTTCCACTCCCCCCACAGGTGAGTACGGCTTGTTCCTTTGGCAGGCACATCCAGTCATCTGGCTCTTTTACCTGGAGCTCTGGCTTTATGACTTTTGTTTGTGCCGTGTGTGTGTGTGTGTGTGTGTGTGTAAAATCTGAAGAATAATGGACTAACTTAGAAAATGGCATTCTACAAAAAGTAGAATTTCCTGAGGAAGGGTAAAGTTCACATACACTTTTCCTGTAGAGTAACACAAATATACATTTTTTTTAATTGCTTGAATTTCACTTACTGGAGATTCGTGAATTTAGTATGGAGCCATTTTCTGTACAGTTTTGAGGTGGTGGTGTTAGAAGTAGTGTTGCAGATTAAGTCTTTAACAAAGACTTAAGGAAATAATTTTAAGGTATATTTTATAGGAAATATTTGATGTAACAGTTTGGAAGTCTCTGAAGTCTATCAAAGCAGCTCTGGAAACACATAGACAATAATGGACTTTTTAAGAATTTCAGGTTTACTTAAGTGTTACTTAAGGTTGACTGGTGTTTTAGTTTTTAAAACTGCATCCTAAAATCTGTCTTGATGGGGAAGGGGAAAAAGGTTCAGTTGCTACAAAATATATTTGCAAAGTTAATAGTGATGCTGGTTATTAGCAAACAAATTCTTTATCTATTATAAAAATGTATGTGTTTGGACATGCATCCCCTTAGCTTGTTAAATACTTCATAGAATATATATTTAGCTCTGCTGCTATAACCAGATGTTTAAATGTGTTAAAGGGCACTTTTAGCTAAAATGGATTTTGGATGGTGTTTTATGGGTTAGCTTCTATAATAGAAATTTTTAAGAAAAGCTTTCCATGTAAACGTAAATGTGGGCTATTCTTTGATCTACACACGTTTCTGTTAGGCCAGACCGTCTAGTTAAATATAGGAATCTTGTTATGCTCCAGCACCAATGAAGTAAAAAATACATCTTGAAGTTGGTTGTAGGCCCAGAAGGAACAGATTACTCCCACCTAAGAGGCAACATTTTTGTAATAAAATCATAATTTAACAGGTACTGCTTCATAGTCTGCACTGAATAAACATTTGTTATATGAATGAATAAGCATACTTTTTCTTAACAGAAAGCAAGGTGAATGCCTTAATAATAATTTATGTCAATATACTCTCTTTTATACTGTCTTTGAATCACCAAGTACTTTTTTCTTTTCTTCTTAAGGTATAAGTTACATACAGAAGAATTCACCCTTTTTAGCATGTACGTTTGTCAAATGTATACAGTGATGTGACCACAGCTTCAGTCAAGATGTAGAATAGTCCTATCATCTGCACATTTCCTCTGTGTTCTTTGTAGTCAGTCATTCCTTTTTACTTCTAGCCCCTGGCAACCCTTTGATCTGTTTTGTTTTGTTTTTGTCTCTAAAGTTTTGCTTTTGTAAGAATATGTAAATAGAAGCGTATGGTATATAGCTTTTGGGGCCTGGCTTTTTGGCACCAGTGCATTTGAGATTTATTCATGTTGTTTCATGTTTCATTATTTTGCTCCCTTTTATTACTGAGTAGTGTTCCATCATTTGGATGTACCACAGTTTGTTTATCCCTTTCCCCGTTGAGGGACATTTGGATTATTTCCGTTTTGGGGTTTTTATGAATAAAATTGCTGTAAGCATACACACGCAGACTTTGCGTGAGTGTAGGTTTTCAATTCATTTGGGTAAACACCTAGGGAGTAGGATTGCTGGCTTGTGTGGTAAATGAATGTTTAATTTTATGAGAGACCATCAAATTGTTTTCCAAAGCAGCTGAACACACCACCACCAGCAGTGCGTGAGACTTCCCTGCATACTTGTTAGCACTTACTATTGTCAATTTGTTTTTGTTTTTTTGATTTAGCCAGTCTAATAGGTATACAGTAATTTCTTGTGGTTTTGATGTTCATTTCCCTAATGACTAATGAGCTAGAACATTTTTTTGTGTGCTTCTTTGCCATCTGCTTATCTTCTTTGATGAAATGTCCTTTCAAATGTTTTGCTCCCCTCCACACACCTTTTGAGTTGGGTTGTTTTCTTATCGAATTCCTTTATTCCTGAATGTAAGTCCTTCATCGATTATACGATTTGGAAATATTTTCTTCCATTTGTGACTTACCTTTTTATTCTCTTAATGGTATCTTTAGAAGGGGAGTTCTTCATTTTGATTGCGTCTAGTTCATTGATTTTTTTTTTCCTTTATGGATTGTGCTTTCAGTGTCATACTTTCAAACTTGTTACCTTACACAAGGTCACAGATTTTGTTCTGTTTTTTTTTCTAGAAGTTTTTAGTTTTAGATTTTATAGTTAGGTCCTTGTTAATTAAACTGTAGTTTTGTTTGCTTTTTTAACCCAAAGCAAAGTAAATGCCTTATTAATTGAATGAATAGAGTCTTTTATGTAGTGTTTTTTAATTACTGAGGACTTATGTGAGATTTTAGACTGGATCTAACTTTATAAAATTCATAATGGTTTAATTATCAGATGCTTTTAACTTGAAAATGGTAGGTTTGTATTAGTTTGTTACAGATTGATTACTAAAATGCCAATAATGTATTTGTATCTGGTGATTCAAATGACAGAATTTACCTTTTAATTAATAATTTATTAGTTTATATATTTTTACATTTTTTTATCATTGTTACAGAGACTTGACAGATTATGTTTAAGCTTGAATACTCCAGATTTTTTGTCCAACAGAATTGATTTTTAGGTTTTGATGCTGTCATAATGTAAAATTAAATGATACAGCAGATCTTGAGTACTTTTAGAATATTCTTTATATGAGTTCATATGAACCCAAGTTTGATAAAGTTACGGAGTTACTGAAGCCCAATTTTACTCAGGTAAATCCTTTTTTTACGATCATGGGTAAGATGAAAAATTGCCAGAAGCGTTTTTCTTTCTTTTCTCCTTTCCCCCTCCCTTTCTTGCTTCCTGCACTTTCTCCTCCTCTTTGCTCTTCCCTTTCTCTCTCCTCACCTCCCCAGGTTCTTCCTCTCTCACTTCTGCTCCCTCCCCTTCCCTCTCCTCCTCTTACCTCCCCTCCTTTCATGCCTGCTGGAGTGACCTCTCATGGGTGCTCCAGTGCTCTGTCTGATCCATCTGTAATAGTAGGCCTTCAGCTGAGTGACGTTAAGTGGAAGTGGAGTCAAGATAAAATTTAGGAACTGGATTGCATTAGGGAATTGGATAGACTAAGAAAGAATGTCTCTAGTTAGCATTAGCTATTGAAATACTCAGCAAAATTGAGTGGAATTGCTAATAAATATTACAGGTTTGAAGATAGTATTACAAGTAAGATATATTTTGATTCACTTTTTTTGTATCTTAACTTTTTTCTTAATTGTAAATTTCTTAAGCTCTGATTTTAAGACAAAATAATCTAGCTTTGGAGATGGAGATTTCTGATTGAATAAGATGTGTTTAATTTGGAATTATGTCACCTGATTGCTGAAATATTTTGTTTTCCTTTAAACTGCTTTGCCACCTTAAATTTGCTGCCATTATTATTATTATTATTATTATTTTGGATAAGACCGTGTGTCAAACATTTTTTCTTTTGCTTTCTCAAATGTCATTCTTGTTTAGTTTTTTTTTTTTTAAGGATTTATTTATATATTTTACAGAGTGGGGGTGGCGGTGGGGAGGGGCAGAGGGAGAGAGAATCCAAGCAGGACACAGGGCTTGATTTCAGGAGCCTGAAATCACCACCTGAGCTGAAACCAAAACCAAGAGTCAGGTGCTTAATCCACTGAGCCACCCAGGTGCCCCTTGTCTTGTTTAGTTTTTAGTGGCCATTTTTGGGGGGTAGAGGAGGAAGTAAGCCATAAATTTTAGTTGTGATGATTTGAAACCCTATCAAATTATTAGTTTAATAAAATTGTAATTAGTAATCTATTTAGAACGTAGCTTTTCCAAACCTAATTTTATTTACCTGTTTTCCTACTTTGCACTTTGATGTCAGCTGACCAATAACTGTGACCTTGCATGATGTTTATCAGATAGCAATTAAATTAGCTAAACATTGTTATTTTTAATAATCTTATTAAGATTCAGGCAGTGTACCTAAAGCATTTCATTGCCTGAGATAATTATCTTTTAATGACAAATTTATGCTCTGTCCCTTTTCCAGGTCATCCTGTTCAGTTCTACAGCATGAACAGACCTGCTACTCGCCATACTCCTCCAACAATAGGGGGCTCGTTGCCCTATAGACGCCCTCCTTCCATAACGTCACAGACAAGCCTTCAGAATCAGATGAACGGAGGACCTTTTTATAGCCAGAATCCAGGTTAGATTTTCTTTTGCATTCTGTAGAATATATCTAATTAAAAATTTCAGTTACAGGGGAAAAAACCTTTAATTACAAATTACTAACACATAATAGGTGTTTAGTACTGTTTGTTGAATGAATGGAAGAATGACTACAAGGTTGCTAATACTGTATCATTCGGTTCCTTTTTTTTTAATCAGTACATGATTTCCATATAAAGTTGTAGAACTTAATTTTTCTGAACAGAATCTTTGATTGTGCTAGTGATTGTTTGCTTCTAAGAATAACGTTGTGGTGAACAGTATTTCCTTCTTATTTAATCAGATATCCTTGCTCTATGAATAACAAATAATGAAAATTGAATGTTCATGAACAGAGTTCGTAAGTGGTATAGTAAAAGAGAAATGATATTTTTGAACTATTTGTGCTAGGCAGTTATACTATCTTAATTCTCATACCAAACCTATGATGGAAAAGCTAGGACTTGGACGGATTGATCCAGATATTATAGTCATCTTTCTGTTGCATCATGCATACCGAAAAAATTAATCTGGCACATATTTAAACCATATGTAGTCATTATTTTTGCTTCTTCCCCAGAGAGGGTAAGAGCAAATATTAGACCCTATGACTATTGTGGACATGGTATAGCAACTTACTGTGTTTTTCTGGATTTTTGCCCAGAGGCCAGTAAGCCTGTGTATCTTTAATATTAGGGTCAACCCATTCCATCTCTGATAAACCCTGAAACTGGTCTACTGTGGCTACTACCTTTTGGTGAAACCTTATTTCTTTGGAGTCATGCAGAAGAAATTTGATCCTCCTTCTACATAACTGCAGTTTAAAGAATGCTTTTATATATATTATCCCATTTGATTCTTATAATCATGTGATCATTTTCATCTGTATTTTGTAGGATGAGAAACAGGTGACGTCAGGTTAGAATTTGAACTTAGGTCATCTGCCTCTAAGTTCCATGTTCTTTCTTCGTACTCGCCTCCCTACCTTCAGATTTTAAAAAAATCTCTCTTTTACTCTCCTAGTCTTCTCTTTGGTGGGGGGTGGGGAGGTGAGGAGGATATCCACATTGTGATATAAAATGCATGAGAGCCAGAGACCCTGTCAGTCTTTTATACAGTTTTATCCTGGGAATAGTGCTCAGTAAATTCACTGGTTTTCTGTGAGATGGAAATCTGGCAGCACTGTTACTGTATTTGGTTGAGTTTGAAAGGGCATTATAACATAGGAATTAAAATATGGAATACCCAGTGTCCAGTGCCAAGTCCTAAGGGTACAATAGTTGTTTTCTAATGAGATTGTTTCAGAAGCAAGTTAATGAAAGGAACACTTTGATCAGGGCTTAACTGAAACCCCTTTGGTTGTCATTGATTCTTAATAATCTAGCCAAAGAAATAGGAACACCAATTTATTATTCATCTGGTCAGCAGCAAAGAGGGTCACCAAAATAAATAGAGCTAAGCACAAGTTAACAGTTTTTAACCTTAAATATGAAGGTGAAGGCCCTGGTGGTAAAGAAGTATGTGTGTATACACATGCGCGTGCACACACACACACACACACACACAACTTGTACATTTACGTATATAGACCTAGTTTGGGAAGTGTCCTAGTTCAGGCTGTTGTCATAATGTGCCATAGGACAGGGTGACGTATAAATAACAGAAATTTATTTCTCACAGTTCTGGAGGCTGAAAGTCAGATCAGGGTGCTAACGTGGTCAAGTTCTGGGGTTCTCTTCCAGGTTGCAGACTGCTATCTTCTCATATCTCACATGGTGGAAAAAGAGAGGGAGTTGTCTAGGTCTCCTTTGTAAGGGCACTAATTGCGTTCATGAGGGGTCTACCCTCATGACCTAATTGCCTCCCAAAGACCCCACCTCCTAATACCATCACATTAGAATTTCATGAATATGAAATTTAGGGATACATAAATATTCAGTCCATAACATTAAAAAATCAATAATAATCAAGGTCTTTGGTAATAGATAATCATGTATTTTACTGCTCACAGTTTCTTACAGCAAAGACTAAAAAATCTAATTCATAAAGTAAAATGTTGGTTCCAAGAAATGTGACTGTATATAGTTATATGAGAGAGGAATTTATGAACAGGTATGGTGTTTTACACAGGGAAAATATCAAGCTGTAACCATTGAATGTTCTTAATAACAACTAAAAAGAAACAGTGAAAAAATAATATTGGGTTGGTAGTATTGCAGAAGAGAAGCCAATAACATATATCCTCTAAATGATAGTTAAGTTACAGCATTACCATAAATTTCCAGAAGAATACAGATGTGGTGGGGCTTTAGCAAAGTATGAATAAAGAGCAGTAGCAAGAAGCAATTTTCAAATCCTTACATTAGGCAATCTTTAGGGTTTGTTAGAGAATGCTTACTCTTTTTATTTTTTAAAGAATGCTTACTGTAATGAGAGCAAAAAAACAGGAAAACAACTGAAAAGTGTTACATTCTTAGATGACCAAGTAAACCAGATAGACCCTTTATACTGATTATTAACACAAGCTGTGTTTTTAAACTTTGTGTTAATTTGCTACTTTTTCTTGGCATAACATCTTATGGTGATTTTTTTGCTTGAAAAGGAATAACAATGATCCAATTCTTTTAACCCTTCTGAAACTACAGAACTGATAATTATTTGGTAACCATATTCTTTTCCATCAAAAAGCCTCCTTACTGAGGTGCCTGGGATCAAGCCCCGCCTTGCCTTGGGCTCCCTGCTCAGCGGGAAGCCTGCTTCTCCCTCTCCCACTCCCCCTGCTTGTTTTCCTCTCTCTCTGTCAAATAAAGAAATAAAATCTTTAATAAAAAAAGCCTCCTTACTGAGTATGATTAGTTGAGTTCACTTTTAAATACTCCCTGCTGTTCATGTTTAGGAAATATTGCACTCTTAAAATGAATTGCTTAAATCATTTCCTTCACTGCAATGTAAAATATAAGCACTTAAACTTGAATGTGCTCTCAGATGTCTATAACCTCTAACGGTGGTGTTTTTTTTTTTAAGATTTATTTATTTATTTTAGAGATGGTGGGGGAGGGGAGAAGAAGAGAGAAACTTAAGCAGACTCTGCACTGAGTGTGGAGCCCACTATGGGGCTCTCACATCCCTGAGATCATGACTTGAGCTGAAACCAAGAGTCGGACACTTAACTGCGCCACTCAGGTGCCCCGGTGGTATCCTTTCATGGTTTTAAAAGTAGTATTTAGAATGTTTATTATGTCTGATTTTCTCAGAGTATTTATAAATCTGTAGAAATAAGCTGTAAAATTCCAACTTATTTTTTCAAAATGCTTTGAAGTAGACATTTTAAAACAGTAAGCCTCAAAGATTATGCTCCAAAGGATTTTATAAATAACCAGGAAGGTCATGTTTGGAAAGTCTGTATATTTCATCAGCACCAACTCATCCTCTAAATTTGGTTTGCTTGCAAAGTCTATTACTATATACATGTCTACTTGTTGCTGTGTGTAGAACTTAAGATCTCTCTATAAACTCCAGTTTGGTGAGGCCATCTCTTCACATTAACATCGTTAGTGTATATTGTGAACATAAAACTCCTGAATCTAAGTTTGGAGATCTTTTGGTGGTTATAGGGAAAGGGTCTTGTCACATGAAGAATCATCTTAGCTAAGTAAAGTGAAAACAAGTGTCTAGTTACCTCTGCTCTTCCCTGTTCACAAGATGCCTGGGACTAGAACCAAATATTGCAGGTAATTCTTCTCATCAACATCCTGCTTAAATCTCCTGGAATGGTTCATTTTCAGCTCAGCTCTAAGGACAATAAATCTAGTCTAAAGTAGGATGTTCTGGTTCACAGGAGTTCTGGTCAGATGAAATCTTAACATGGTCCAGAAAGAAAATGCTGTGATACATGAATTAATTTGGACCATCACATTAAAATTTTGCCCTGGGGAAAAAAAAGTAGCATTTGGGGTGACCTTTGTAAACTGTTTGGAACTGAATTTTTTAAACATGGTCTGGCTTTGAGAAAAATCCAACTTGTTTTGTTACAAAGCAAATCTGTTTTAGAAAGATTTGTGATTGGTTTTTACCTGGGCTGTTCTTGGTGGACTTCTTAAAACCCTATGGTTTCAGATTTTCACTTGCAGAACTAGAAAAGAAATAGAACATACTCATCTTAAAAAATAATAATACACTTGATCTATCTACAAAAAGACTGTTCTGAGTTAAGCACCTAATCATTTTGGTTTTGCTGAGCACCAGAAGGTCATTTAAAAAAAAAATTGGATGAGAAACAGTGACTGAAGTGGGGGATTCCCTACTTTTCTGTTATAGGACAGGTTGGGACCGGTGCTAACAGAAGAGGAACATTTTCATCTTATTTGACGGGAACGTACACCCAATAAATACTTTCCTAGAATGCCAGTTGCTGTTTGCTTCTCTTTCTCTCTTATCAGCTTCGTCTCTGCTACTTCTGTGTTCATTATGTCGTCTTCTTCCTCCAAGTTTAGAAACACAGGGTATTGGGAACATATCAGCAATTGTCCCAAGCCTCTGCGAGGGGGAGACACGGCATCGAAGGGTTTACTACCAAGTTTAGGGAAAAACCTAATTAAAAGGTACCTTTTAAGAAAGTACCCATTTCTAGGGTTATTCTACGCTGCCCCTTACATCTAGATATTCTTTAGTATTAACTCATAGCTTAACTCTTGTCTACATATCATCTATGTTCCTTAGTTACCAAGTGGTACTTTTTTCACACTGTTACTAAGTTCTCTTCTTTTCTTTGTGTTTATGCTGCCTTGATTTTTTTTGGGCCAGGTCCTGAGTTAGGCATTCTGCATGCATTAGTTTTTTGTTTTTGTTTTCTTTTTAAATCTTTGCAACCACTCTGTAAAGCAAACCACTCTTTTTCATCACATTTATGGATTAGGTCCAAAGAAGTTATTACTAGGTGTTTAACAACAAGGAAATCAGATTTTTGATGCTGAGTGACTTTAAAGTCCAGTCTCTTACCACTGAGTACTCTTTCCCCTAAGGTACTTCCCTATTTCATACCTACCCACTTACTTTTCCAGGTTTGTATTTTCCCTCTGGGCTATTTTGTGCTAGCATATATATAGAAACATTTCCAGTCCTGTGAACTGGTCATGCTGTTTTATATCTCTCAGCCTTTGCCCCTCACTTGGTTCTCATCTTGTCTTTCTCCATTCTTGTTTGCTTGTTCAACTCCTTTTTTTCCAGTGCCCGCTCAGAGTATTTCTGTGTGGCCTTCCTTACTACTAGCGGCATCCCGGTGCCCCCCACCCCCCACCGGCACCTCACACCATCCCCATGTCAACTCTCCCACCACAGCCCCCTCCAGCGGATTGCTACAAACATTTCTGGGTTAAGGTTATTATTTTGTTTTGTAACCCCAATTAGAATGTGGTCTCTTTGAGGGCAGTGACTTTTTCATCTTTTCAGTTGCATTAGTCTTAACTGTAATTTAGAATTAATAAAGCTGTTCTTTTTTTATAAGAAGATGCATACTATACTTTATACCCATTCTGAAGGAAACTGTACTGTAGAATTAATCTTGGGCAATTGTTTGGCATGTACCTCGTTTATTTATTTACATACGTTAAACATTTGTTGTAGGCTGACTAGTGCTAGGCACTGTACCAGGTGTTTGGAATAGAAGGAAAGACACCCTGGGGAGGAGAGAATGATTTGAATGAGTTAAGTGGTTTTTTTTTGTATAAATTGGGATTATGAAAAATTGTAATGACACAGACCTAACTCTCAGAATGGTTTTGATACCGGCCTCCTAGCAGAGTGCTTGCCACTTACTAGAAAGTCAGTAAATATTTAATTAAGGAATGAAGAACCAGTTAATTTGCCTGTTAATGAAGTAATGAAAAGTATAAATTTAGGATGTTGGGATGCAGTTTTTTTTTTCTGGTATTGAACATTTAAACTTGTAACCTTTAGAATCCTGAAGACCAAATTATTTGTAATAATTTGCAGAAATTCTTTGAGAAGACATGTTATTAGTGATATGACAAGATCAGTTTGCCGTTACATGTTAGAATAGATTTGTATATAATAAATGCTTCCTGTTACAATTTTTAGAACTTTCTTTAAACTCCCCTTAATACTTTGTTTTTTGTGTTAATGTATTATCCCTCAGAAGAGGATCTTTAAGATAGCTTATAAAATATTTGTACATAGTGGTTTCCCTCCTTATATGTTCATTTGATTGTATTAGCCTTTCCTTTTAATGTAACTCGCCCTTACCCCTTATCCTCCACACCTTTTTTGTTTTTGCAGTATCTCTTGCTCCTCCTCCTCCCTCCATTCTACAGGTAACTCCTCAGTTACCTTTAATGGGATTTGTGGCCAGAGTCCAAGAAAATAGTAAGTTTATGTCTTCTTTATGCTGTAGATCAGATTATAGGCATAAAATGTCATTTATATATGATTGGCTGAATAGTAATTCATTCGCTAATACTTCACATATTTGCATATTATGAACAAGTCACTGGGTCAGCAGCTAGTGTGAATAATAAAATAATTAAGATGAAGTCCTCTGCTTTCAGGTAACTTAAAATCTGGTAGTGAAGAGAAGACAAAAGTAAAATAAAGCACATGTAAGAAAAGAAAGACCACATCTAACCAAGGAGATGCTACTTAGTCACCAGATATTCCATCTTTTTCTCTGGGTTGCTCAAACAAGTAGTAGCCTAGTTTCCTATCACTGGAGTTGTAGGGTTTTGTGGCCGGCTTGAGAATCTTCCTCCAGTCTTGTGATTCCAGGTGTAAAGATGGCCATGCCGTGGTAGGTCTCAGGGGACCAAATTGCCAGTCTGTCTCCCAAAAGGCCTCGTAGATTGGCGATGAATTTACACTGGCCTGTGGCCTGTGGCCTGGGGTCAAGACATGCAGGATTAGATAACTAATTTTATTGACCCATTCAGTCTTCTCCTAGGGAAGCATTAAGGAAGCTCAGGAGCCTGATACCTACAAAGCAGGAGGCCTGGATCACATTCAGTGAGGAATTGCTGTTACAGACACCAGTGAACATAGTCCCTATGTCAGATAGACGAATTCTCTTTTTATGAGTGGTCTATACAAGGAACCCACATCACAATCATCAGGTTGCATGATGGGTATGGAATCTGAACCAGGGGAATTACATTAATGAAAGTTTCAGTGCCATCAGTATGAAGAAGCCCAATCTCTGCATCTCATAACAGGGATGGCCTGACCAGAGGGGTAGAAATGTTTGCACTCTGTTGCTTATGACTCCTGCTTCTTCGATGGGCATTGCTGATCCTAGAATGTGAGCTCTTATGAGAGCAGGAACTTTTGGTTGTTCTGTTGGCTGGCTGTTTCCCCAGCACTTAGAGAAGCATCGGACACAGAGCAGACACTTTAGTCCCTGGATTTTGTTTTTTTGTGCTTCTATAGCTAACCAAATGCCCCCTTTTTATGGACACATTTCTTTGTTGTATTTCAACTGGTTATAATCCAGTCTTACTTGGCCTAAGGGCTCAGTGTCTCTTTCAGGTGCCTTTGCATCTCTGTTTGCTAGCTTCTGAAAGTAGTCTAACTTTTGCTTATTGGAAGGTAAACCATGAGCATGAGCACCTCCAATATTTAGCAGTGTGATTGCCTTTTGGGATAGTCTTTTCTTTCTTTCCATAGTCATATATATATATATTTCTCACCTACAAAATGTATAAAAATAAGAAAACTTTGTGTATGAGGTGAGCTGTGGCTTATTTTACAGACACATGTGTCTGTAAAATAAGCCACAGCAGGACTTCTGCATTCAAATGAATGTTCTCTTCAAAACATTCACCTTGGAAAGATACATACTTGTCTTTTAGAATTATCTTCAGAGTTTTCAGGTATACGATTTTGAAGATTTCTCTGGTAGCAGATAGTCTGTAATAAGATCGATGTTTGGAAACAGTCTGGAATTATTTGGAACCAGGTATACTGGGCTCAGTAGTGCAGCTATGATTCTGTTCTTCTTCTTAAAATCCTTCTATGGCTCCCCATTGCTCTTTGGATAGAATTCAAACTGTTGGAAGGCCTTTCCTGCTTAGTCCTCTTCAGCTTCCTCATGCCTCTTTCTACTGAACTTTGGCCCGTTCTTTGAAGGGTTCCTACTTTCTTACCTTTGTATTTTTTTTTTCCTTTACATCTGACATGAAATATCTACCCTCACTCCATCCTACCCTCTGGCCATTAACTCTTACTTATTCTTCAGGTTCAGGAAACCTTTCCTGACCTACATAAGAGTTTTGGTCTATTGCTGTGTTTTCCATAGTGACTTAAAGCACTTACTGCACATAATTACTAGTGAAAATTTGGTTGTCCATGTCTCTCTGATTTTTGCCTACTGCTCTGTCCCAGTGCTGAGCATAGTAGCTAACAATAGTAGGCTCTCAGTTGATGTTTGTTGAATGAATAATCATGAAACATGACTTTAAAGTTGCTGATCTCATCCCATAACAGTGTATCTCTTAAGATAACAGGCACTGAAGTTCAAATTCCTGCTCTTCCACTTACTTAGTGTAGGACTACTTAATCTTGGAAAGCCAGTTTCCACATCTGTAAAATGAGGACTAAAAACACACCTCCCAAGGTAAAGATTAAATGAAATAATGTATCAGAAAGTGCTAGCGGAGTAATTGGAACATTTTAAGTAAAAATGGTAGCTTATGTCAGTCTCATTAAACTAACTCTGAGGCGTTCTAAGAAATGGTAAAAATAAGCAATGGCAGAATCTGAGTAATTTTGTAGTGTAATTTCTCAAGGTGATTGTTTTGAAAGACAGCGTTCCTTTGGATCTTTGTTTTTATGTAATTGTTTAAAGTCAATCTCTTTACCTTATAAGTGCAAATAGTTATATTGTTGATTCTTATCCCAACCATATGTAATTTGTCATAAAATATATGCTAAATCACATATCTATAGTTTTTATTTAAAAAAACCATTACGAAGAATGGAATAAAAGAATCCCTTTTAATGGGTAAAGTTTTGAAGTGTGTCAAGCAGAGAGGTTGAGAAGTAGATGGGCAGCAGGTGGAAGAATACTGGAATAGGACAGAATCTGATACTGGTGTGGCCAGTCCTCACCAGACACCAGCAGTCTTCTCAGATTCAATCAGTAGGCTTAGATGAAAGATAGAAAATAAACAGGATTGCTCAGAGGATTTCACAGAAACAGTACTGATACCTCATAAATAAGAATTAATAAATAAAATTGGGCAGCTGATAAATGCAGCTTTACTCAGTTTATTTTGTTGAGCTGTGCTCAGTTATGTACCAAGCATTTTGAAAGCTTTGAGTTGCCTGAGTTTGGAGATAATCTTTTCAATGTTACTGTATGCTGATACTTGAGCTGTGGAAGCAGATCTCTACAAGGAGAGACTTTTAAGTTACTCTTGGATATTTAGCTTGAGGAGATTCTGGATCATAAATCAGTCTGAATTAGTTGAAATTCTCTCTCTCTATAAAAAACAGCAAACACAAACATCTTCATAGATGAAGTTACCCAAAGTCTTGTGATTTCCATTCCACTAATTTGGTAAAATGCTATTTAAAAAAAAATTCATTGAAAGGAATGTAGATTACTAATATTTGACTATACACAAGCACATTCTAATTTATTATAAATTAAATATGCTTGTACATATCCAAATTATTAATATTTCTGATAACCACTGCTCCCTTGGATATAACATAAAACCAAACTATATTGTACTTACCTCTTTCTTTGAAAAAGAGGATTCTGTATTAGCATAAACAGGTTCCAAGAGGCTCATTTAATAATTACTGTTTTGGCTAAGCTTTATTCAACACCCATCAGTCCTCACCCAAAGGAAGGAGAAAGTCATGCTTGGAGATCTGAAACATTATAGTTGGTGGGGAGCCTTCTCTTGCCCACTCATTTTTTGAAAGATCATCATTTTCAAGTCTAGATTTATATTCCATGTATATAGAAGCTTGGATAGGAAATACTGAACTTTGCATAACATGTAGTTTTGTTATCAGCTTGGTACATTCTCAGTTTCAGATACACCACCTCCACCACCACCTGTGGAAGAACCAGTCTTTGATGAGTCCCCCCCCCCTCCTCCTCCCCCAGAAGATTATGAAGAGGAGGAAGCAGCTGTGGTTGAATATAGTGATCCTTATGCTGAAGAGGACCCACCGTGGGCTCCAAGATCTTACTTGGAAAAAGGTAAGTTTCAGAGGGATACCTAGAGGGATGGGAAGACACCTCTACATAGAAATGGAATTTACTGGTACTGAAGAGAACCTTATTTTTTTACTGATAGGTAAAGTTTTGCTTGCATAACCTATGCAACATCTTATTAATTTAGTTTACAAGGTTCATGATTTTTGAAAGTCACACTAGTAAAATTCTGTGACTATATGATTTTATACTGATGGTTATTTATTGTTCTACTGAACATGCTTTTTTATGAGTGGTTTCTATAGGACAAAAATTTTAAAAATAGGGTTTTTCTGGAATGCCTCGGGAAGAAGATGGTTTTTACAAATTATTAGTTATTTTTGTGGTATCTTCTAGTAGATATTTTAGGCTAAGCATCTGCATATGAAACTTTCTTCCAAACAATAATGGTTTCTCAGTTTCTTTGCAGAGTAGTATTGAGCATTTTTTTAAGTGAAAAATTTCTCTGAATGAAACTTTTCTGACACACTTTTGGGACACAGGCTTCCAAATCTCACCAAGACTAGTTCAGAAAAAAATGTATCCTATCTTGAAATTTTCTATTAAGGAAATCAAAGTTACTCACTCACAGGTTTTAAAAATTGACCACATTAGAATCACCTGGGGAGCTTACCCTAACAAATAGTGGACTTCCATTTTTGGCGAAGGTAAAGCAGATCAGATTTACCCTTCCTCCTAAAGCAGGAATGAATTCAGAAAAAAATATAAAAAATAATGATTTTCAGACACTGGACAACAGGCAGTGGTAGACTGTGACCCCATGATGGAGAAGGAAGTCAAACAAGGTAAACCTTTGATTGTCCTAGCTTGCTAACTAGGGGAAATTTCTGGGCCACAGTACAAGGAGGTGGAACCCAAACAGAGCCTGGAGATCTCACTGCATAGACAAGGTAGAGATCAGAATCTTGGGAGGCCACAGAGAAGTAGTAGTTACACAAAGAGGACAGAGCTCTGGAGATCTGCAGAAGGGTCCCTATAAGTCTTTGATTGAATACTCATCTGTGCATGTGTGTGAAGAAACTACCTGAGACTGGAGAAAGAACAACTAGAAAGAAGTATGCAAAAAAATTATTGGAAATAACAAGTCTGGGAATAGTTCATGCTCCTGAACCAGCCAGAATAGAAAGACCTCGCAAAACACAAGACATAGAGAAGAGGCCTCAAAACTGTGTCCCCTTAGTGATGGGGCCAAATTAGCCCTACACTAAAGGTTGCTCTGGACTGTTCTAACAAATGCTTAAATGCAAACCTTGAAAGCATCCAACTGATTTCAAGTAACTTAATTGATCTCCAGAACAAAATCCAACATTGTTCAAAAAAGAAAAAAAATCCAGAGCACCAAAAAGTAAGATCCACAGTGTCCAGCATCCAATCAAAAATTTCAAGGCATGTAAAAAAGCAGGAAAATATAACTCATAACTAAAAGTCAGTCAATAGAAACAGAGCTAGAAATGACTGAGATGATGGAATTACCAGACAAGGCTGTTATATATTAGAAATGCCCATGTGTCCAAGAAAGTAAAAGAAAACATAAGCACAAGAGAGAAGCAGAGTATCTTAAAAAAAAAAAAAAAAAAAAAGAAAGAAACCCACATAGAATTTCTAGAGATGAAAAATAACAGTATGTAAAGTGACACTTCAGAAGAAAAGATCAGCAACTTGGACGATATGACCATATAAACTATCCAAAATGAGAATGGAGAAAAACCAAAAAACAGAGCAACAGATATGTGGGACAATATCAAATAGTCTTCATTTGCAGAAGATACGATCTTTTTTTTTAAGATTTTTTTTTTTTATTTATTTGAGAGAGCGAGAGAGCACAAGCAGGGGGAGCAGCAGAGGGAGAGGGGGGAGCAAACTCTCCTGCTGAGCAGGGAGCCTGATGCCAGGCTTGATCCCAGGACCCTGAGATCATGACTTGAGCCGAAGGCAGACACTTTACTGACTAAGCTGCGTGGGTGCCCCAGAAGATAATGATCTTATATGTAGAAAATCCTACAAGGAATCCACAAAGAAGCTGGTAGAACTAAAAAGCGAGCTTAGCAAGATTGTAGGCTACAAAGTCAATGTGCAAAATTAATTGGATTTTATTTATTTATTTATTTTTTTAAAGATTGTATTTGAGAGAGAGATAGCGACAGAGATAGAGCATGAGGGGGAAGAGGGAGAGGGAGAAGCAGGCTCTCCACTGAGCAGGGAGCCCGATGTGGGGCTTGATCCCAGAATCCTGGGATCATGACCTGAGCTGAAGGCAGACGCTTAACCAACTGAGCCACCCAGGCACCCCAAATTAAGTGGATTTTTATATACGAGCAACAAACATTTGGCGATTGAAATTTACAAGACTATACCTTTTGTAGTAACATCAAAAATACGAAATACTTCAGGATAAATTTAATAAAATATATGTAAGACCTATATGATGAAAACTGTAAAACATTAAGAGAAATTAATAAAGGCCTTAAATAAATCAGGAGATATATTATGCTCTTTGATCATTATTGTTCAATAATTGGTTTTTCCCCAAATTGATCTGTAAATTGAATGCAATTTCAGTAAAAATTCCAGGAGCCATTCTTACAGAAATTGACAAGGGGATTCTAATAGTTATATGGAAATGCAAAAGATCTCATAGAATCAAAACAGTTTTTTTTTTTAAAAAAGACTAATGTTGGAGGATTTAAACTAAGGCTACAGTATTCGGGACAGTGTGATGTTGATATAAATACAGAAATATAGATCAAGAGAATACAGAATCTAGAAAAAGATCCACATACATTGTTTAACAAAGGTGTCAAGGTAATTCAGTGGGGGAAGGGTAGTGTTTTCAACAAATGTGCTATAACAATTGGATAGCCATCATTTGGGGAGCTTATATTAACAAGTCGTGGTCTTCCATTTCTGGCCAAGGTAGAGCAACAGTCATCAGATTTATTCTACCTAAAACCATTAGGAGTGAGTCCAGAAAAATTTGTGTGGTGAAGTAAAGGTAAAAAATTAATGTTCATGTACTTTCTTACCCTTAATTTACCATACACAAAAATTAACTTGAAAGGTATTTTATTTTTTTTAAAGATTTTATTTATTTATTTATTTGACAGAGAGAGACACAGCAAGAGAGGGAACACAAGCAGGGGGAGTGGGAGAGGGAGAAGCAGACTTCCCACCGAGCAGGGAGCCCAATGCGGGGCTCGATCACAGGACCCTGAGATCATGACCTGAGCTGAAGGCAGATGCTTAACGACTGAGCCACTCAGGTGCCCCTTGAAATGTATTTTAGACCTAATGTACAACCTAAACTATACAACTTCTCGAGAAAAATATAGGAGAAAATCTTTATGTTTTAGGATTAGGAAAAAAAATTATAGAGAGTCCTGGAATTTTTACTGAAATTGCATTCAAATTATAGAGAGCACATAAAAAATTGATAGATTGAATTTCATTAAACTTTCCTTCTTTAAAGATGCTGTAAAGAAAATAACAAGGCAAGCCTAGACCGGGAAGGATTTTTGCAAAATAACTCAGTAAGGAGGCAAACAGCTTGTAGAAAAAAAAAATTGACCACACTTCACCAATTAGATGCATGAATTGCAGATAAGCACATGAGAAGATGCTTAACATTATTAGTCATTATGGAAATGCAGATTAAAGCCACTGTGAACCAAACTAAATCCCACTACACACCCTCTAGAATGACTATGGTTAGAAACCCCGACAATACTAAGTGTTGGAGGAAGTGTGGTAGTGAAACTGGAGCTCTTAGGCTTTGCCGGTGAGAGTGCAGCATGTTTCAGCTACTTTGACACATAGCTGTCTGTTTTCTTATGAAATTAGACATACTTGCCAACCTGGCAATCCCTTCCTACATATTTACTTAAGAGGAGTGAAGAGGAATGAAGATCTATGTTCATGTGAAGACTTGAACTCAAACCTTCATAGCTGCTTCATTCATAATACTCAAGTGTCTTTCAACTAGTGAATGGATAAACTAGTTGTGGGATATCCATCCATTCAATGGAATACTGTTCAGCAAAGAAAAGGAACAAACTTACTGATACAAGCAACAGTATGGATGGATTTCAAGCATTATTCTATTGAAAGAATCTAGACACTAAAGACTCATACTTCGTGATTCCATTTAAATGAAATCTAGAAGATCAGTGGTTTCCAGGGACCAATACTGGTGGGTGAGGAAATTTACATAGGGGCAAAAGGAAACTTCAGAGTGGTGGGCATGTTCTGTATGAGGACTGTGGTGGTGGTGATGTATTTGTCATGTATACAGTGCATACATTTGACAAAACTCACTGAGCTCTACACGTAAGTGGTTGTATTTTGTGTCTAAATTACACCTTAATAAAGCTGTTTTTAAGAAAAAAAGCCCAAAGTCCTACAGTAGGAGGCTATGGCTTTGGGCACTGACATGTTTTACAAACTCCCTGATTTTAATGCTGTCCTAGATAAAGTGATGAGTTTTCAGCTCTGAAAAACGAGCTCAGTTATTCCTTAAAAGAAGAGCGCAATGAAAGAAAGGTTTGCTTTCTAAAAATGTACTCTTCAGTGAGTATGTTAAAAATCTGGAGAGATTTTTATAAGAGAGGAAAGTGAGTTGCTTTCAGTCCAAGTAACTCTTTAGAGTTTAAAATATGCCTGAATTGTTCTCTAAGATGTTTTTCAAAGTTCGATTTATCTGTTAAGTTCAGATCTTTTAAAACATGAAAATCAAGTAAGCTCTTTCTTACTCTTTCCGGCAAAACAAAAAGAACCAACCATGCTTTGCTTATGGTTCTTTTTTGTTTGAATGTGCATCAAATGTTAAGGCTGCTGCCTAATGACTCATTTTGTTAGCTTAGACTGTAGGGCCTGCCTGCATCTTAGAGTCACCGCGGCAGTATTTAATATGTCTGCACCTCCAGACCTAAGAAACCAGAATCCATGGGCATGCATCGCAGGCATCAGAATTTTTTAAAGTTCTTCCGATAATTCCAAGGTTGAGAACCACTGCCGTAGGAGGTGGTTTATCTTAACCTTTGATCACTGCTATACTAGCCAGATGGAGATAATGTGTATACGTGAGGATCTTGATTTAACCTGGGTAAAGAACAGATGTTTTTATGTATTTTATTATATGCTTGGCATAATGCTAAAGTTACTACGTATGTAAGGCAATTAGTCTCCCCATTTTGCAAACTAGGAAATTGAGGTTCAAAAATAATTTATATAAAGAAAATGTTAGTGTTACAAAAAAGATAGTGTATCATAATAGTTATTAATGATAATAAAAGCTAACATTTATATAGATAATGTTTACTTATCATGAACAAGGCCCCTGGGCTATATCTTGTACGTGCACTGCTTCATTTAATATAACAATGTTCTGTTGTTTTGAGGTATTAGCACTATTGTAATTCCCATTATACATAGTTGAGTAAAAAGAAGCTTAGGAAAGTTAAGTATGTTCTGTAAACTTACAAGTGCTAGAGCTGGGATTTGAACTAGGTGATACAACCCTAGAGCCCACGTTCTTTTTTTTTTTCCCTTAGAGCCCACATTCTTAACCACTGTCCTCAGTTTGATCTCAGACCTGGGATTGAGTCTTAGCTGTACTTTTTATTAGCGTTAAATTCTTCCTGGCAAACTTCAACTTATTTGTCAGTGCCCATTTTATGTCCCTTCCTTCTATCAAGCCATCTGTTCTTGTGTTCTTCCAGCTCAATGATGTAACTTCTTGGTAGAAGTATAAACCATGTATGGTAACTTACCAGATAACATTTCTGTCTTCCCAAGACTATGACAGTCCCTTGTCTTGTTCACCTTTTATCTCTAAAAATCAGCATAGATGCTCCATTAATGATTGTCAAAAAGTGAATAGGGCCATTAATTCTATCTGGGGATTCCAGAAAGCTGGTCAGAGGACATGGCATTTATGGTGTGTCTTGAATGATGAGTAGGAGTTTCTCAGGCAAAGAAGAAAGATAAGAAGGGCCGTCCAGAAGGATTCACTCAGAATCCTCTGAGTGAAAGGGCATGGCGGTTTGGGATGTGGTGAGTAGTGTCACATGTAACATGGTGGGTTGTAGGGAGAGGGTGGGGTATGAGGGGAAGCGAGTAAGCCTTGAATACCAGCCTGAGGTGTTTGCATTTTTTTTTTCTTTTTAAAAAATCTAATGGTAGAGGGAAATTGTGGAATATTTTTAAGCAGGTTTATAAGTTCCCATGAACTTATAACTTTTTTTTTTTTTTTTAAGATAACCTGGTAATAGTGGAGAGTACATTAGGCAGTAAGAAAAATAGAATCGGGAAGACCAGGCTGGATACCTTCCTTAAGCAAGAGATGAAGGCCTCAAGTGAGGCCATGGTGCTGAAAACCTTGTTCACATAAATAAGCAGATGCAAATGGAAGTATTTTTCATGTGGCACTGTCACTCAGTTTTTTTTTTTTAACTCCTTTAGAGTTATCTGCCAAAAATCGAATAATGTTCTGTCTTGAAAAATTATGTTTGATCATGTGTCAGCTGGTAACTCCAGTATAGTATTTATTAAATTTTGTTAAAAGCAAAGGAACTTTGCAAATAGGTTGGGTTGATCAGTGGAGTAATTCTTTCTTATACCACACCAGTATTTTGAATTGTCCCTTTGGCACCCAGAACTGTTTTGTACTTTAAGATAATCCACTATTAAGGATAAACAGGAAATGAGAATTTTTATGACTGATTGAAGGTATCTCCAGCAGACCAGTTTTAGGAAGCCATATATATATATGATCATATATATATAATATATATATATTTTAATTCCAGTATAGTTAACATACAATGTTATATTAGTTTCTGGTGTAAGGAAGTAGTATTTTTAAAGTTGAGAATCTAGAAAGTATCTCTATAAAATTATGTCACTCGTATTGCTTAGAAAATCTTTAGGTACTGGGTGATAGGTGTAGTCTTAAAGCCTGCTGCCCTGACTAGGGCAGTGACTGCTGATGATGGAGAAAAGTGTTTGGATTTGAGAGATTTAGGAGGTAGAATTAGCAGGACTTCTCCTCTTAATTACTTGCAGTGGGTTTGCATTTCCAGAAGCATTAAGAATGTTATCAACTCAAAAGCTAAACGATATTAGGTTGACTAGAAGTACGAAGTACTCTACATATCTTGTATTCTCTTCCATTTAGTTAAACTTCTGTGTCATCTAATTGTATTTGTATTTAGGTGTTTGGTTCTGTTTTGAGAAGTACACACTATAAACTCTTCCGAGGCTCCTCTAACGTATTTTCTGGTATCCTTAATAGATTACTGTAATGGCAAATATTCAGAGATTAAGAAAGCCATTTAATTTTTACTAAAGCAGGCCAGAAACAAAAATTAACTAGGGCAAGTCACACTAAATCATAAGTCCCTGTTGTTTTGTTTTCTTATTTACGTGAGGATTAAGTTTGCATGAGAAACTAACAAAGTCAGTATATACTTAATCAGAATGATGGCTAGATGGAGATTTTCTTGAGTGAAGTTCTGAGTGGTATAATAAAGGTACAGAGAATCCTTTTATAAAAATAAATCTTCATGTGGAGTTGAGCAAGTTATAAGGTATCCCAAGTTAACTAAACTGTTGAGGTCTAATGATGAGCAACCAGAGATTGTCTCCGCTTTGTTACCAATTTATTTAAGCAGTGAAAATTACAGGAGGGCTGACAGGTATCTTTGTTTTCTTAAAACTTTTGGCCCATCATTGTGGATATGTTTAACGGGCATAATGCAGCCTGTGTTTTAAAAGATTATATATAGTAGACTCCCACTTTGGACACATAGAACTCGTGGGAATTCAACTGCTTATTCTACTTCATGAATAGGTATAGGTTCTAGAAAGTTGGAGATGTAAATCCGCTATTCCCTTATTCTCATTTTCTCACTTGCCTTTTATGGTGCATCTTACTGCACTAGTATAATTCGCATGTTTAAAGATACGTGTTTTTACACAATATGGTGCTTAAACAAGCTCAGCTGAAGTAGCAGCCATCTTTCCCGATTCTGGTTCAGTAAGGTATTTTCCCCTAGGCTCCTGAAGGGTAAGTTTGACTAAATAGGATTTTTTTTTTTCTTCCCTTTTATACTGTTTTGAACCTGACCTCTCCAAGATGGGATTTTATTGTATATAACTGGGTATTAGAAAAAAATTTTTTTAGTTTGTGTTTAGAAAGTCACTGAAGTACTGCAGCAGCTGGGAAAGGATGGATATTCATTTATTTGTTTCTGTCTTTCTGGGGATGTTATTCTTTTCATATCCTATTTTTTTTCCCCCTCTAGTTGTGGCAATTTATGATTATACAAAAGACAAGGAAGATGAGCTGTCCTTTCAGGAAGGAGCCATTATTTATGTCATCAAGAAGAATGATGATGGTTGGTATGAGGGAGTTATGAATGGAGTGACTGGGCTCTTTCCTGGGAATTATGTTGAGTCTATCATGCATTATTCTGAGTAAAGCTCAGCAGGGCTGTGTTTCCCTCACAGGAATAGTCAGGTCTTCCCAGATTATCAAAGGGCCCTGGGGATTCCCCTCCAGTGAAATGAAGGAAGGATACAAATGACACAAACTACTTATGTTTTTTTGGTTTACTCCCCAGTATTAAAAAAGCAAGCTGAATCTGAACAAATGGATCTTTCTGCCATTATTTGTACTATGCTGAGCTGTTTGGATTAAAATAAAGTGACCATTTCTAAATAGGTCAGAGGTATAACAGCATATAACTCTGTAAGACAAATCAGGTTAAGACTGATTCAGAAAATCTGGGATCTTTCTCAGGAATACTGTACACCCTTGGGATTTCTCCTCCTGCAGAATCTGTGGCATTGGACGTTCTCCAGTGCCTGTGCCAGAGGGTCAGCCTCGTGGCCCTAGTGCCGTACCCGGCCCCACGCTTTCTTCCACTCGGATGAGGAGCAGAGAACTAGTATTTAAATAGCATACGTAACCATTTTTATAACTGTTTCGATGGCTTCTTTCCTCTTAACACTGTAAATTCTGCCTTCTCTCAGCACTTGAGTGCACCGAGTGCGTGCTGCTGACTTGCATCCCTTCGTGTTTTTCACTTTGTAGACTGAGGATGATGAAGTGAGTCCCAGACATTGCGAGGGTGGTTAACAGTTGCTGGTTTGAGTTCAGTGTGCCGTGGCCGCTGCAGGAGACTGCGCTGCCACCGAGGGCTGGTGGGCCCAGGCGTGTGACGCGCGGTCGCCTGGCTCCCAGACTGAAGCAGGCGTGTGAAGCTAGATGTGAGGCTCCTGAGGTTGAGACTGACCTGGAGAAAATGTTGTGCTCTAGGCATCCTAGACCTTTGCCTTAGGCACGGTTTCCAGGAGCAGAATCTTGGAGGTCAGACCAGCTATTTCTTTACTTCTCTCACTATTCAGGAAGACATTCTTTCTTGGAAAACAGCCGTTATTTTCAAGTCTCTTGACAGTCACTGGGAATCAGAGGCTCGCTCCTGTGCTCCCCGAATGTTGTTAATGGCCAGTGTTACTGCTGCTGAGTTTACTCAGTTCTAGGAAAGGTAAATACTCTCCCGGTTTTTTGACTGGCTTTTGAAGTCACTGCTCTTGGCAAGAATTTGAACCTTCTATCTTGGACTAAGAATAGTGGGATGAGAGGTTTAAGGCCAAATACTCATCTACTTACATAGATAAAAATCAAGATAATTTTGAGCGAAACAGTAAGTATTTTTTTCTGTCTGTACAAGTTACAGCTTCACATTCAGTGGAGCTCGTAAGGCAGCTGGCTTTAACCATCGCTTCTTTAAGCAGTGTAAAAAATACCGATGAAAGGGTCCAGGAGGGCTTGCTGCTCAGCAGCTGGATTTTGTGGTGAGGACCCAGCTCACGGGCCCAGAGCTGCCTTGGGTTTGTCCCCGTCCCAGGGACTTTGCCAAGTCATTTCCCGGTGCTGGGTAAAAAGGGGACAGAGAGGCAAGCACTGCGTTTATTTCAAATGAAGGCCTTGGACAGGATAATGTAGGTAAGGGGATCTGACTGAAAAATGAACAAGTGCACTAGTGTATGAGGGAATTCAGATGGTGTAAGCAGAAGTTAATATTCCACTTGTAGATCTGTTTTCGGAGCATAAAACTTCAACACTATTTAACAGACCCAGATACAGGGTTCCCTTACCAAGACTTCTTGTTTTAAAGTTGCAGGGGTTTTCCCCCACACATTGCAAGGTAGCTATTTTGCATTTAGATTTCTTCAACATTAGCGTTCATTAACTTGCCTCCACTTCATGCTTCTGTTAGGTCATCTTGACATTCTTTATGCTCTGTTTTCCTTTAAAGTAATGGCCCTGAGTGTCCTCTGAGCCTTCAGGTTCATTATGGACCAAGACTATCTACCTGGATAGGTTAAACTCTTCTTAGTGTTGGTGTATAACTAGGAAAACTGTTTTGAAATTTAGATGTGTTCCAGTTTTTACTTCAATAGCTTTGTGCTGAGAAAGCTTAGTGGATTTTTAAGGCAAGAGGGTATTTTGAAATCCCATATAGTATTCACAGCTCACACCTATAGAAGCAGAGAAGATAATTGTGCAAAAAAAGTTGGTGGCGGTCACCTTGCCTTTTGGACCCCTGCTGGACTGTGGCCTGCAGAAGACACTGGTGCAGTCCTTCATACTGAAGACCTGCAGCAGAGGGGGCTCCATCGGTCAGCTGACTTTTTCTATATTATTTAACACTAATGTATACAATTGTTTTAAAAATACCTGTTGGATTTTCTGCATATTTTAAATTTTTGTACAGTTTTAAATTCTATATATTGTCTTGGAAGGATGCTATGTAATGATGACGGGCCAGGCCTACAGTAATTGGAGACTTTTAATGTATGTAATATTTCACAGATTGCATGCTATTAATAGTCTGTGAAGGTAGTATTTCTTGATTTATCGTAAGTCCCCCCTCCCAATTTATTTTTTTTATGAACTACAGGATGGTTGGTAGTAGGAATTCCAAATGAATGCAGAAATCTTACAGGATACATAATATTGTGGCAAAGATGATCCAAGTCTAAAATCTGCTGACTCGTAAGCAACCATTTTAACAGGATAGAGGGAGAATCTAATGGGAGAGGGGATTTTTTATCCTTCTGAAGTGCTTTTCCTTAAAGTAAAAGTGACTGAAGTCTCTCTCCCTCTCCCACCCCCCCACTTTTGGTACTAGTATTTGAAAGGCCCGGGGGAGATGAATGAAAATCACTTTCTTGTTGACCTTATGGCTAAGGCAATAAATCAAAAACCAAAATAGTGTCAAGATCTAGACCTGAGAGATTCAGCCCCAGCTGTATTTGGAGTAAATATGATTCTTTGAAGATATCTTGTTCAGTATTCTCCATTTTTTGGCTACCTGCTTTCTATCTCCCTCAGGGGCACCTGCTGTTCCCATCTTAGGGGGGGCAAGGGCCTGCTACTTTTGCTGTGTTCCTAGAAGTCACTAGGTGAGACTTTCTTATCCCTCGCTTTCTTTCCCCCCATCCTGCTGCTGTTTCTTACCCAGCTAGACAGAAGGTTTATGCATCTTTGCACTGATGTCTGTGATGGAGCTGTGCTCCCTAGCAGTTGTATGTTGATTACAGATGATTACTTAGGATTTTTCTGCTTGAGAGGCATCAAAATGACGGTAGTTTTGCTTTTATCCTTTTGTGTTCATTTTCTTTTAGCAGGTACCTTTCTGCATTAAGAACTGTTCCTTTATTTTTAAATTACCTTTTCTTCTCAGTGGAGAGAGCATGACATGTTCTGAAGACCACCTTTCCCTTGGAAAAGGGTTTGATGAAGGATTTGGCAGGTGACTGCCAAGTCTTCGAAAAGAATGGGGATCTGAATCACTTCCCATCTGTTCACTTCTGAACTTCTTTGGCCAGGAACTCCTGACTGGTGTTAAGGTGATTTCCCTTCCATGATTTACTTAGAATCCTAGAATTTTAGAGCTACATGAGATTTAAAAAATTTTAGTTCATTTTAACTGATGAGGTTAGATGTTTCATTTCAGATAACAGCTAGTTAACAACAGTAGAGTTCCTGACTCAATGCCTGTACTTTTTCTACAGCTGTCTTAATTGAATATGCTGTATGTTTCTTTAAAAATTACGAGTGCTACTTGATGTCTTCAGGAAGATACTTGAAAAGATAACACTGTTTCGATAAATTCCATCAGTATTCAAACTGTTTAAAGGAATGTACTAAAGCACAACTTAATTAGTGAGAATTATCTTCATGTTAACCCTTCTACTACTCCACTCAGTACTATGTAGCAAAAATAGGTTACCTGATTTCAGCACTGGCAGGAGGAGCACAGCAAAGAGCCTTAGTTGAGAGAGGCTTATAAAACAGTATTTTTACGGAGGCATTGTGCTCATAATCTTACGTTTACTTTATTCCTGTTTCTTTTTGAGAATCTCATAAACCTTAAAAAAAATTGACAAATGAAACGATAGGGCCTAGCTGTGTATAAATGATCCTTGCTCAGTATCTTGAGATTTTTTTGTAAAACACAAACACGAAAAGCTTATTTTCACATTACGATGGAAATGTCTTTTGCAACTTCAGAATTCTATGGAAAAAGTTTTTCATATTTTGTGTCCATGCATCTTTTTTCTTAAAATGGTTTACAAAAAAGAATGTTAAACAACTTGTGATCTGGCCAGTTGTATTTTTAAAGCTCCTGCAGGGAGGGTTGGTATCCTGAGTTGAGTAGAAATCATGCAGGAAAACTTGAGGGAGCAGTCTGTTGCCAGTAATGTTTCTCGTGTGTGCCATGAAGCCACCTCCAGCTGAGTGGGGGAATCTTCACTTTTTAATTTCGAAATTGTATTTGAAATTGTTGCTGTGTACTAAGAACTTGACCTAAATAAAATTCTACAAAGTATGTCCAAATGTCTTGTGAATGTTTTTATGCAAGTAACCAAAGAGGTTACTAAGGTGGTAAATCGAAGTGTATTGGAGAGAATCCTTCCCTGTTGTTCTAATCTGAGGGTTTTCTGATCACTTGCCCCTAAATACAATTCTTTTAATACAAAAAGGAGAGGTTTCTTTTTTTACCCTCATTTGACAAAAGATAGAGATTTGTAAATACGTTATAAATATACATTTATACATACCTTGACATGGCAGGCCAACACATTATTGTTGTGATACCAAAGCTTTGAAACAAAAAGCATCCCATTTTGGATTTGGTTCTACTTTGTTTAAAGAAGAAGATCTTAGTTTCAATAGGCAAAGCTTGCTTTCTCCTCTGTTGGTACAAACTAAAAGTTAACCAGTTGAACATATCAAATTGTAGTTTAATTTACCTTCCCACTTAATTTGTTCTTACTGCACAGCTTATTTATGGGCACCCCAACATAAACAGCCAAAACCAATTTCTTAAGAATGCCGATCCACAAACAAACAGTCAAGTCAAGTCCCCATGTTTAAATGAAATCTATGTATTCTTTTTATTAAGGATTGGGTAAGCGGACATAATGAAAACACAAAACAAAACAAATTTACACTGTATGACTACTGTCCTAAGCCGTTACAATAGTTCACCGACAGTAACTGGTAGAGTAATTTGGAAAATAACTTAATCCAGCAGTAGAACAAAAAAAACATTGTCAGTAGTACTGAATATATCTCTCTCTCATATATATATCTATATATAATCTATATATAGGTTTGCACAATCAGGGAGCAAGGCACATAATGAAATGAGAGCGTACATTTAAGCAGAAGAAAACAACAAAGCTGAAAGAAAAAAAATTGTAACTTCACCTTTACCAAGCTGTGCATAATCATAATCTTGAATAATGTTCTCTATTAGGTACTTTATAATGCAGTTCCTTTTGCCTTCTTTTCATGCTTTAAAAAACTATACTCCTACATTGTATCTATTTATTTATGGCAAAGCTCCCACAGCCTAGATAACAGTGTAAGCCTTGACTCCATTTTTTCAAGAAATGGGAAAAGGAGCAATCCCAGTTAAATATGTGCAACTTTCCTTTAAAACAGTAAACTGTTTTTACAACATTTAGCACAAGCTAATGATATTGTAAATGTACATTTCTATAAAAGGAGTTCACTAGTGGCGAATGATAAAATTAAGCAAAATCATTTGAAACATTCCAGTTAACGCTTATTTTCTAGGAGGGATTATTTACAAGTAGAAAAAAAAAATATAGGAAGTAGGAATCATGAAAAATGGCAGTTTTTGGTATTAGGTTACAATAAATCTGACAACAATGGACAGTTCCCAAAACGCAAAGACTTTCTGTAAGTGCTGCAAGCATGTTCTGCCTAAGAAGAGGTTGAGGCTTCAGCAGTTAAGAGCTTGGTATTAATAGCCATCCATGATCAACAGGGTCACTTCTGAACTTAGCTATCTTTTAATATGTAGTAATCGCCATCACCCTGACTAGACTCACTTCTCTAAATGTCTTTGGTAGAAAGCGGCCAGACCCCATTCAGGTAGATGAAAGCCATCTCTTGTGAGACAGACACTTTCTCTACTTCTGCGCAAACTACAAATACTCATCTTCCTTCTTTCACTAGCACCTCAAAGTTTGCTTGTTGGATATTTTTTAAATGCTATTCCTCCAAAAGAGTTCAAGGCACTGGGGATTATAGCAGATAGTGTCTTCTCTTCAGCAAAGAGCAAACAAATTGGAGATTTTTTTCCCTTAACGTGTTTATCAAGTATATTGTTGTTATTTAGCAAATGTATTCTACAGCTTAATTTCAGGTTTCTTTTACATATAGACCTTCCGAGGGCACAGTAAGAACAGAGCACTTGTTTAGCTGGAGGGATAGACTGGTTAAAAGTGTAGAAATGTTCTATTGAATTTTTAAAGGAAAATAAATCTTAAAAAAATAGGATATTTCATTGTACTTGCATCTCTCTGTGCATCAAATCTCAACTTGGTGAGTGAGCACATACTCCTGTAGGGCTAGGGATAACCCACATTGATGTAAAGTGTATAAGCAAAAGTCAAAAGTGCCAAAAGGTACTGGCAACCTAAAAGGGAGTTTTAGAAACAGACATCTTCTCATCAAGTGTATAAATCCAAATTATTATACCTACTTAAAGCAAGTCATTACACCTATAATCATACAGGGCCATACAGGTTTAACTGGTCTAAACTTGAATAAAATCTGAGACACTTAGCAGTTGTAATTTGTTAGCTCGTGAAGGTATATGAAAAATTAAAACTAGGGAAAAGGTTTTTTTAAATTCACCTCATGTTTGTAACAAATTGCTTTTAGCGGAAGAAAAAAAGGTGACAAAGGGTTCTGTTGGTGGCTTGATAGTCAAATAAAACCGGTCCATACCGTTTACTTTTTTTTCCAGGCTATTTCGTAACCTTACATCCTTGACACAAGCTTATTAGCAGTTGTATTCTCCCAGAAGAGCAGCTTCTGAAACTAACTGGATGCACAGCTCCTGTTAATCTTGATCTCAGTTGTCACTGTATTGGGGTTATTTATTCATGATCTCCCAATTTTGTCTAAACTTTCTTGATAAACTCAGCATTGTTTTTAGTGGCAAGTAAACTTCCACACAGAGAGAGGACTTCCAAGATGGTTCACGGCCCTTAGCACAGTATGCCGTCAGTGGGCGGGAGCACTTTCATTTTAGAGAGCTGTAAAACACCATCACCTCTACATTACTTTGACATTTTCTGATGAAAATTATTTCCTATAATTTTTAAGTCGCCAATCTTTCTCATCTTAAAAAGTCCCAGAAATTTAAAAAAAATCCAATTTACAGTTAGGTGGGTACCTATGAAAGCCATAAGAATACCTATCCTAAGGAAGTATTATAGCAGCTGAAGAAATGTGTTTGAGTAGTAAAAACCCAGCTGAATAAAATGTCAATACAGAAGAGTCTAGCATTTATATTCTTACCTAGAACCTATGTCATTTTTTTTTTTCAAGATTTTATTTCTTTGACAGAGACAGCGAGAGAGGGAACACAAGCAGGGGGAGTGGGAGAGGGAAAAGCAGGCTTCCCGCGGAGCAGGGAGCCCGATGCGGGGCTCGATCCCAGGACCCTGGGACCATGACCTGAGCCGAAGGCAGACGCTTAACGACTGAGCCACCCAGGCGCCCCTATGTCATTTGTTTTATTAACAGAATAGGCTCTGCTGCCCTTCAGAGTTAGTACCCAAACCTTAAGCACAGGTGATCACCAATTCTGAAATGACCTGTGGTAGAAGTGGAGGCTGTCACTAATTAACCAAGTCACTAGCTGAAACAGGCACCTGTTTGCACTGCCCCCAACGCTATTCACTTCTCCGTCCAGCCAGGTCAGCTGCCCAGATGTTCTTCTCTGAGCAGAAGCAGATACATGGGGTTGGAAGAGCTACTGAGCAGACGGCACTGGAGGAAGGAAGGCGCAGCCCTAGTGTCCTTCGGCAGTCCGTGTTCTCCAACCACACACCAGAGAGAAGTTCCAAGAGTAACAGAGTCGTCTCAAAAGAACCCCACACAACTTCATCCCAACAAAAATCCCACTAGGGAGTAAAAAGCTAGAAGTATAATCTAATGTATTATTTTGTGGGGTTCTCTGATTCAGTGTTTCACATAAAACAAACGGGGGAAAAGCTGATTAGTAATAGCCTTTTCTGTCCTTGGAGAAACGTAAAGGAAAACCACCTGCTGCAGACAAGCCACGGGATTCGGGTGTAAAGGGCACAGCTCTCTTCTTAGTGCCGCAAGCGTTCTAAAGGATGTCTGCTCTTTCAGGAAAGTGGTAACGCGGGCGCATCGGGTCGGATGGCTCTCAGGACTGACACAAGCCAAGAAGTCCTAGGGCACCCCACACTGACTCAAGCAAGGCTGCATCTTAGGGCCCAAATCATGCGTGAAGGAGGACTGAGGGAATACTAGTGTTTTTCCCCTCCAGGAAAGCTGAAGTCCACCTTCATGCAAAATAAAGACCATCACCCCCACAAAAACCCTAGTGATGAATATTTCTGTCACTGGATTCCTATTACTCACTTTACCTGACAAATAAGGGTGGTCCTTAGAATATAAAGCTGCAGGCAGCAGGCAGAACTGTGGGAAGTTACTTCACTCATGAGTTACAGCGGAGCTTGGCCATCTGTGCTCAACCATTACTGAAACTGCTGCGCATGCTTAAATTAACAGTGCCGATGTGTTAATGGTCACTTCATAAGCCTAAGAATATCAAGCACACAAAGTTTGAGAACAAATGAGAAGATCCAAAAAGTGTCTTTTAAAGAGCAGGACTTTAAAAAATGCACAGTGGTACATATTCTTATTGCTCTGTAAGCACATGAATTGCTGAATGATATCCTAGACATGTAGGCAATGGAGAGGCGCCACTTCATACTCTCTCTGATGCAGTCCTTTTTTTGGAGGTGGGTTTATAGGAGTATCTTGTGTATACAGTACAACTTTTGCTTATTCTTAAATTCTTTACTATCTCTGCCCCGCTGCACTGACTTCACTTTTTTCTTATGGGACAATGTCAAAGATTTTTGCAGGCTGCACTGGTAATTCTGATTCACGACAGGTAGAGACTTGGATTACAAGATGTGCTCATTTATCACCGCTGGGATGGCTAGTTTTTATTGTTTAAGAGCAGCTCTGAGGTTGCATTTTATTTGTAATGGCCACTTCGTCATCATAAACTGATGGGACAGTACATACTTCTCTCAGATACCAAGGAAAATTCACAGAACAGCAACAGCAACAACAACAAAGGCGTCAGGCAGGGTGTGAAGCAGAGAGAATGCAGTGGGTCATTAGAGCAATGATTCCATTTTACACCAAACCGCACGTGCATAATATGTAATGTCACTCACTGTACTTGGACTACACTACTCCACCTGAACACCCGGGGACCTGGACAGATCTCCACAACCAGGCCACAGCAAGCAAGAGTCCGAGCGAGCTCTAGTAGCTAAAGATGGAATGGTCACAAACCTCCCTTTTCGCCTCCCGCTGGGAGAGTCCCGTACTCCAGTGGATTCTCTCTTCTACACCACAGTCCATACACAACCCGACAAATGGTACCTGCACAGGGGGCAGGCCTGCTCTTTCCTAATCACCCATTCTAGAGCGACACGCAAAAAAGACGCAATCAGAAGCTAATTTTGTTTTTGTAATGATGCACTGTATCGGACATGGGATGTGTGTATGTGATAGAGCAATTGTCTACAGATCTCTACTATCAACATCTACCTAAAGCACACACTATATAACTGGTGACCCAAAGACATACCGGGACAGAGCATTCCAGGGGTATTGTGTCAGATATTCTCTCACGACAAATCAAAACAAGAATCACAAAGCCAAGCTTGATGAGGCTTCGCAAAGCTCGTGAAAAAGATGCCAACAGTACAAAAAGAACTATCCGGGATTACAGTACTAAATTATCCATGTATTGTAGGCAAAGAGCTTACCTGTGACAGAACACATCCTAGATACAGGTGGGATCATGGCGGCCCTACAACTAGAATGGTTTAGTGACATTGTGTGTTTACTTCCTATCCACAACCACGGACGGACGCAGCATCTGTGGAAACTTCCCCATTCTGCACTAGTGACCCACCCATGATGCTGACAGTTTCCTGATTTAAAGTGCCCCTTCAGGTATAAGTGATGAAGTGTCGGCCAAGCAGTTCGAACTTCAGCCAACTGGGGAAAAAACAAACCTAAAAGTCCCATCGATACACCAAACATTCTGCTGTCTTCTCAAACTGAGAAACAGCACATAATACATCTATTCCTTAATATATAATACACAACATGCACAGAGAGGCTGCACATGAACACTTATAAAATGCCTTCTAAGTCAGTCATTAAAAGTTTTTGGTCCAACCCACATGAGAGATAACAGAAATCCTAAGGGACAGGACACACATCCCCTTCCATGCCTCTTCCACCCAAAATACACAAACCCATATTCAGGTTAGGAGAGAAAAGGAATAAATAGACTCACTCTCAGCTCTCTATATACATATACACATACATATATGTATACATATATATACATACACATAAACACACGATCTATGTATAGCTATGCGTGTCCACGCACACGTACACACCACACACAGCTGGGTACTACCTGAATAACAACATCATACTAGGAGGCTCTGCACACCAGAATTCATAGGTGATCAGGTGAGCTGATTGTAGAGCTGATTACAGATACCACGCAAATAAAGTCCTACGGTAGCTACTACCAGTCTCTCGAGAGCTTGGTGTTCTGGTCTCTCTTGGGGGGTGCGGGAGGGGGTCCTCTCCGCAGTGTTGCATAGCCCGATATATGACTACCTCCGTAACCGGCTTTCTGTTGATCAGAAAGCAGTTCCGGGGGGGGCGGCGGCAGTGCCATATCATCCATGGTGGCTGTGGGCTCTGCCCTGGACATGCGGGAGGAGGAGAGCGAGCCGTGCCGGGTGACGGACTTCCGTTGCAGTGTCCTGTTGAGGTCAGCGAGGAATCCAGGCTGGACGCTAAGGCCGGACTTGGGAGAGGTGGGCACTTGTGGCACAACTGTGGCCGTTGCTGGCTGCTCAGAGATCTCTGCTTGAGTGAGGCGGGTGCTGTCATTCCGTTTGGGTCGTGTGGGGGGAGGGGCCTTCTTCGCCGATGTTTTGGACCATGGCTGTGGTTGAGGATTAACGACTGCCACTTTTGGAGAGGTGTTTCCCGAGAATACAGCTGGAATCTCTATGGGGGGCAGAGGAAGCTCTATTTCAGGTGGAGGGGGTGGGAAGTCGGAATCGGATGGAGGAGAAGGAAATTCTACCACAGAGTCCTTTCCGCGCCCACTCAGGACAGATGCTTTTGTTGACACACACCCTTGTTGGAGAACTCCAGGAAGGTTAACTCCAGCAAGACTTAGTTTTCCGGGTTTGGGGGGCGCCGCCGGAGGTGGTGGGGTCTCTTTGCTGGGAGATCCTGAGGGTTCTGCTGACGATGCAAACTTGCTCACTAGACTGTCTACTGAGGGTCTCTTGGGCTCAGGGTGCTCGGTGCAACTGCTGGACTTAATGCTGGAGTTTCGCTGTGGGGTTGGGGGAGGTTTCTTTGCCCCGGGGCTGGATGTCTTACTGGTCTTTTTGCCTGGAGATCCACTTTTGTCGGAGGCAGGAGAAGCTGAGGGTGTAGCTGTCAGGGGTGGTGGGACCAGGGCCGGTGGAGGAGGAGGAGGAGGAGGGGGGGGCGGAGGGGGGGGAGGAGGAGGGGGAAACACCAGGCTGCTCTCAGGAGGAGGAGGAGGGAAATCCGGAGAGGGGACAGGGATAGAGCTGGGCTGCCACTTGGGTTTCGCTTTCACAGCAGGAGGGGACTGTGGGGCCACATTCGCGGAGGGAGGCCTGAAGGGCTGCTCCACGGGAGGAGGGGCTGGAGGGGGCGGAAACTGGCTGGCTATCTGCTTCACGACTGAGGGCGCGGGAGACAGCGGAGAGGGAGGTGGTTTTACGCAGAAGCTCTGCTGCTTGGGCAACGTGGGTGGGGGGACTGGACCAGGAGGAGCAGGGGAAGAGGGTGGGATGTGGGACACAGGAAAAGCCGGCTGCTTTTTTGCTGGGGGAGCTGGAGGAGTAGGTGTGGCTGGCACAGCTTGTGTCATAACAGGGGGCACGGTCTTGGTGCTGGTTGGTGGGGGCATCGTCACAAGGGGTTTGGGGGGCGCCTGGGGAGGAAGGGGTGTAGGGACAGGAGGGGGTGGTGGTGGCGTCAGAGGGGCCACTTGAGTGGCATGCTGAACGTGATGAATCTTCAGTGGAGGAGGTGGAGGGCTGAACTGTGGGAGGGACGGGGTGCAGGGTGCCGGTTTGAGCTGGGCCATAGCTGAGCCCGGGGTGGGGGGTGGGGGTGGGGGCGGGGGTGGGGGAACGACCCCACTGGGGGGCACCAGGATCTGAGGCTTTCCTGACTGGGAGGTGGAGGCCAGAGACTGTATCACTGAGGGCGGCGGAGGCTTGAATAGGGGTCCTGAGTGCTGAGAAGCGTTCTGCAGCCTGGTTATTGTGCTATACTTGACGAACATGGTGGCTGCTGAGCCAGCAGAAGGTGCCGACTGGCTGGGCAGAGGTGGGGGAGGTGGGGGGGGTGGAGGGGGGGGGCGGGGGCGGGGGCGGGGGCGGGGGTGGGAGAGGCGGGGAAGGCTGTGAGGCAGTGTAGGGGGTGACCAGCTTGGGCTGTGGGGATAAAGGGGGCATAAGTGAAGTGTAGGGTCGATTCATAGACTCCATTCTGGCCTAAAAGGAGCATAAAGGGGGGGGGGGAGGTGGGAGAGAGAAAACACAACAAACACAACAGTTACAGAGGTAAGCTTTGCGTCAAACTAAACAAGGAATCTGGGACATGGGAGAAAGGACTCTGCAGTGGGACAATGTCAGGAAGGCGAAAATCAGACTCCCTGGGCACCAAGGGTATACAGGGAATTTGTTCACCCAGCAATACTCTCAAGTGGCAAGACTGCCTAACAATCTAGGGAAAACGTCCTGCTGATCAGTGGCGGGTTGTCTGATCTCCGAGCCCTGACTTTCCCACGCCTGCCACGAACAGGAGCCCCCGTGGGGGGACCTCTGTGCACTGACCCCCCCGGACTGTGGCAAGCGGAGACGTGATGGCTCGAGTTCACCTTTCAGTCCATGGCCGCATCCACATCAAGCAGATGCCATAACCGGGTTTAGGAGTGCTGGTGGAGGGCCTCCCGAGGAGTGAGGACGGCTGTGTGATGCTAGCAAGCTGACACGAGAGAACATGAGAATGTTCAGCAGGGCATGCACAGTCACATGGGAATGAATGAGCTTGACACACACACTCGTGTTCGTGTGAGACACTTGCATCCAACATGCACAGAAGTCCAGCAATGCAGGTAAAGGGGGGGCATTCTTTACATTTGTTTTACTGGAAAATACATAAAGAAATGCTTTATAAACATTACAGCAAAAGATTATAAAAATACCATACAGAAAAAGCCAGGAGAAAATGAGGAGAAACCTTAGAAAACTAAAGGAAATATATCAAGGAATGGCAGCTAGAGTTTGCCAACAACCTGCTGACCAGCCCCTCGGGCACCTCTGGCACTGCCCGGGTTACCACATCTGGTCATCTGTGTCATGGAGCCACTCATGCATGAATGTGGTTCAAGTACTTTTGAAAAGAGCAAAGGAAGGGCCCTTGGTTTAATAAAGCTTGGGCACGTGTTTTAGGTTCTTTGAACAGACTCTGAGGATCCAAGATAAACCATTTGTTTCCAAACTACAAATGACATCTAATTAGCATCAAGAACGCTCAGGTTAGTAGACTAGAAGGCTCAGGACGGGGCTGAATTCCAATGCCCACCAGGACACTCACATGTTTCTTTAAAAATTGCACAAAGTAAAAGCATTAGTCTGCGAGACTTGGTTACAGGGGTCACCCAGGTTAATGTGTTTCCAAAGAACAGCCCCTGACCTTAACTTGACCCTGTCTTGGCTGCTGCAGGGGTGCAGACCTCAGCCGTGCTGGCCTTCTCATTTGGCACCTGAGGCTGAGGTAACAGAAGAAACACAGGTGGGGTCAAGACACACCATCGATGCTGCACAGAACGGTTCGCGCTCCAGAAACTACCACGACCAACTCTGTGGCTTCAGCACACAGCATTCGGACCTTTAGTATTATTTTGTTTTCCTCTTGGCCTTTCACTTAAAATGTACAGGGTTAACACTATTAAAAATTTAGTAAGGGAGCAGACTTTTCTTTAGATATCTGAATTGTGCAAATCTGCTTCTCCAACTACACATACAGAGTTATCAATAAGCACAAGATAGGGCTGTTTCATCCAAACTGATTAAGTGGGAAAGGGAGACAATTATTTCTTAAAATCTGAGCCCCTGATAAAGGAGTTAAACAAACTGTGAGTGCTCTGAAAATTCAGGTCATTAGAACCGATTTTCAAAAATTTCTTTCTAAGACAAAGTGTCCCACCCCGACATGGGGCTACTAATGCCTCTTGCTGAGGAGCAGTTAATACACCACAAATGCAAATAAAGGAATAAATTAAAGGAAACGATCCATTTAATTCTCTTTGGTGAGTGTACTTGTGTAAGTGATTCAGACCAAAAGAACAAAAAAAATCACGATGGTTACTGGGTAGAAGCACAATGCTCAGGCCAGCCGTGCCACTGGCCCCTCGGTGACGGTGATGGCGACGGCGTGAGCGCCTCCCGCTCAGCGGGCGAGGGCAGCCGTGACACACAAGGCTGGCCTCCGAACTTCAGAGGCAGTCTGATTCGATGGCTTTCACCCGGGCTAGAGAACCTACATATTTCTAAACAGTCCTGCAATAATTATAATTCGTCCTTCAGTGTCACTGAACAACCTACTGTGCAAAGCTCAGGGATCCAAAATTTTAAGGGGATTAATCTGAATTTATGTCTTCTGCATATACTAAAATTTGAGAAAATCTCATGTGCAGAGAAATGCCAAAAAGCATAAAAGAATAGAAGACAAAGGAAGGAGTCTGAATAGATTAATAATGAGTAACGAACCATTAAAGCTTCTCTGAAACAAAGTTAGGGCCCTGGCACTAAATGGTGTTGCTCCATCCCAACTGATTAAGGGTGAAAGGGAAGACATCATTATTTCTTAAAAGTCTGAACCATCGATAGTCATTAAATTGCCAGTTTGAGATCTTAGGTCACTAGAGCCAATTCACAGATACTCATTTCTGAAGAGAAGTCAAAGTAAGAATACTGAAATAGGGCCAAGAAAGAGTTCTAATAAAGGAATAAAAGCAACAAACTAACCCATGGAACATCAAAGATTTTTTTTATATAAATTATCACCAGTGTGTTACCTACCTTGCTGGACTCTTCCAACTGAGTACCACGTTTCCAGGCTTCAGAGAAGATGGAGCTCACAATACTCTGGGAACGGACATGTCCTGCTGGCTGAGTATCAGATACTCCGCTGTCAGATTGATTAGAATGATTTGACTGAGACTCTGTTTAAAATAGATTTTCAAAAATAGGATTAATTAAGTTGTTATTCCGACAGTATGAATATGTACAGTTAGCGAGCTCTTTTACACAAGATCAGATGCTATGCAGGACTGCAACAAGCTACTTTTACTCATTTCATATAAACACAGTCTGAACTTTCCTCTAGAAAACTTTCCTTATCTTAGGGCTAATAGGAAATCTTGGTTCTTTTTAAACAGCTCACCATGACAGACTGAACATCACAATGAAAGATTTGTGTAACGTTACTGGTATCCTGACAACCTTGAAGAGGTGTTCTCGCCTTGCCTGGAGGCCAGGCTACCGTGTAGCTGCTGCCTGGTAGTACCAGTACCTGCATCCCTAGAAAATACATCTCACTTGAGCTCAGGGTTGCTGGGAATGGTGGCGGATACACTGGATGTCTCTCTGGCATCCAGGGTGAGGGACCTGGGGAGATTATGTCACTGGACCCCAAGTCAGGTAAGATAACCATGCGGAAGGAAGCACCTAGCCCAGTGGCCAACATCTGGTGGAGATTCAGGTGTTAAAGCTAGTCCTATCCAATGACTCTGTGTGTGTGTGGGGGGTATATTATTAGATTGCTTTTTAATCAAGTCCAGCCAAGTTACAGAAGCAGTACAGAGATGACAGCCACAAACTCCTCTGGATAAAGTTAAGACATATCCTCAGGCAAAAATACAGGATAAAACCTACTCTGTTTTCTTCTTTCTTCATCATTCAATTGCTGAGTCTTTTTAAAATTTTTTATTTTAATTCCAGTATAATTAAGTTATATTAGTTTCAGGTGTACAGTATAGTGATTCAACAATTCTATACATTACTTAGTGCTCATCACAGCAAGTGTCCTCCTTAATCCCCATCACCTATTTTACCCATTCCCCCATCCACCTCCCCTCTGGTAACCATCAGTTTGTTCTCTCTAGTTAAGAGTCTGTTTCTTGGTTTGCCTCTCTCTCTTTCCTTTGCTCATTTGTTTTGTTTCTTAAATTCCACAGATGAGTGAAATTTGGTATTTGTCTTTCTCTGACTTATTTCACTTAACATTCTCTAGCTCCATCCGTGTTGTTGCAAATGGCAAGATTTCTTGTTTTTTTTTAAAGATTTTATTTATTTATTTGACAGAGAGAGAGACAGAGTGAGAGGGAACACAAGCAGGGGGAGAGGGAGAGGGAGAAGTAGGCTTCCTGCCGAGCAGGGAGCCCGATGCGGGGCTCGATCCCAGGACTCTGGGATCATGACCTGAGCCGAAGGCAGACGCTTAACGACTGAGCCACCCAGGCACCCCAAGATTTCTTTTATGGCCAAATAATATTCCTGTGTGTGTGTGTGTGTGTGTATATAGGTGTAGGTGTATGTCTATATATATATATATATATATATAGGTGTATGTCTCTCTCTCTCTCTCTCTCTCTCTCTATATATATATATGTCTGTCTATATATATATAGACAGACACCACATCTTCTTTATCCATTCATCCATCCATAGACATCTGGGCTCTTTCATAGTTCCATAGCTTGGCTCTTGTAAATAATGCTGCCATAAACAAAGGGGGGCGTATATCCTTTTGAACTACTGTTTTTGTATTCTTTGAGTAAATACCCTGGGGTGTGATTCCTGGATTGTAGGGTACTTCTATTTTTAATTTTTTGAGGAACCTCCATAACTGCTTTCCACAGTGGCTGCACCAATTTGTGTTCCCACCAACAGTGCATAAGGGTTCCTTTTTCTCCACATCCTCGCCAACACTTGTTTCTTGTGTAACTGCTGAGTGTTTTTTAAAAAGCTGCAACTTCACTAGCCTCCTACATCCCTATTTAATTACTAACCAGAACAACAGCAGATAAGATAGGAGGCTGGAACATGTGAATCCTTGAGCTCTCTTCAGCATGAATGTATAAGATTTTGCAATTTATATTTAAAAATCTGCATAATACTTAACACTGTATAAGGAGGGATGATGCTGGACTAGGAAAAGGCATCACACCACTTCATAAAATGTGTGGATTAATGCTGTATTAATTCAAAAAATATTATGGCATCTTTTATCTCAATCTTTCCCTTAATTTTTCTAAAATCTTAACTTGTGACATACTCTTACCTTGCCTTTCTCAATCCATTATCTCAAAAGTGTCTTCCTCCCCTTTAATAAACATTTACAGAATAGTTGTAGATTTATGGAGAAGTTGCAAAGCTAGAACAGAGTTCCTACACACCTAGCACCCAATTTACCTCATTATTAACTTGCTATATTACCATGTACATTGTCACAACTAAGGAACCAACACTGATACATTACTATTAACTACACTCCAAACTTTATTTGGATTTCACTAGTTTTTCCATTATGTCCTTTTTTTTTTTCCTTTTTGGATCCAGGATACCACATTATAGTTAGTTGTCAATGTCTCCTATGACAGTTTCTCAGGCTTTCCTTGTTTTTGATGCTTTTGACGGTTCTGAGGAATACTGGGTCAGGTATTTTACAGAATGTCTCTCAATTTTGATTTGTCTGTGATGTTTTTCTCCGGATTCGACTGAGTTATGAAACTTGGAGAGGAAGACCAAGAGAGGGAAAGCGCCAATCTCATCACATTATGTAAAGGGTACATGCTATCAATAGAACATATTACTGAAGGTACTGACCTTGATCACTTGGCTGGGGTACTGTTTGTCAGGTTTCTCCACTATAAAGTTACTCCCCTTTCCCCACACCCAGCTATCCTCTTTGGAAACAAGTTACTCTGCACAACCCACACTTGAGGGGGGAATTAAGCTCCATCTCCTTGAGGGCAAGTGTCTGCATAAACCATTTATAAATCTTCCATACAGAAGATCTGTCTCTTTCCCATTTATTTATTTATTCAATAATGTATATCAGTATGGACTGATGGCTGTTTACTTTACAATTTGGATTATAATCTTACACTATGTTATTCTGTTGCCCAAATTGTTTCAGCTTTGGCACCTGGACACTCTCAGGTTGGCTCCTGTGTCCCTTTACACAGCCCCATCACTGTGTTTTTTGAGCATTTCCTTCATCCTAAGCTGCTTCAGGCTCATCTTATTCTCTGCCACAGCCCTAGTTCTTTGTTCTGGAAAATGGTATTAGAAAACCAAGATCAAGGCACTCTATTTTCACTGATCTTGGGGTGTCACTGCTCCTACTTCTCTCAGTAGACAGCACTAGGAAATACATGCATACTAACCCATACACATTCTCATTTTGTTTCTACTTACTTAGAGATGAAATAGTCATACAACTTTTTAGTCAAATACTTTTTTAAAAAGTTCACATTTTTATTTTATTCTAAAGCAAAACAGATTCTGAAAATGGTAGAATTCCTTAAAATGTACATACGTAGCCAGGTAAAAACATTTACTGAAAGATTAATTTATATGTTATACTAATAAATAATGAGAGGGTTTTTTTTTTTCATTTAAATATTTCCTAGGGGCACCTGGGTGGCTCAGTTGGTTAAGCAACTGCCTTCGGCTCAGGTCGTGATCCTGGAGTCCCGGGATTGAGTCCCACATCGGGCTCCCTGCTCAGCGGGGGGTCTGCTTCTCCCTCTGACCCTCTTCCCTCTCGTGCTCTCTGTCTCTCATTCTCTCTCTCAAATAAATAAATAAATAAAATCTTTAAAAAATAAATAAATAAATATTTCCTAAAGTTATTATTTCTTTCATGTGACGTCAGAACAAAAAAAATATTTTGCTTTTAGAGGACATAGTTATCATTCATGGAGTATTTTGAAGGGAAAGAAGCATTTATTTTAAGGTGTAATCATAGCATACTTGTTTAAAGGATGTGGGAATCTGAAAATATGCACTTTTTGAGTATCACTGATTTCTTGTGAAAACTTTAGTAAGTCTGATGGCTTAAACAGTGATACTGAACTAATTCTAGTTATTTCCACTCTGCTGAAATGTCAGGAAACCTATGGGGAAGGAGGGCAGTTTCATCATGGATTCTGAGTATGCAGACTTCCTCCACGCAACTTTTCTATTCCCAGGTATATATTAACAGTCACAGTTGTTCAGCAGTATGATTGAGTTTGAAATAAACTTTATAAATATATATAACAACACTCCTGGATTTAAAACTTTATATACTATATGGTGCTCCATATCAAATACATTTATGAACTAGCCCATGATATTGTCCCCTCTAACCACCAAAACAAAATTTATTTTATAATTTAGACATTAGGTACAGCTCTGGTTTTAAGAACCTTGCTGAAATAACCAGGGCTGCCGTCAGTCTATAGAGATTTCTTCATATTGGCTGTCAGCATTTCGAACTACCTGGGATGCTTGAAGAACTGGATCCTGATTTAATGCTGGAGCTGGATAAGGAAGTCCAATCATAAGCCGACTCTGTCCTCTTCAAGGCTTCTTGATAGTTCATGTAGAGCTGTTTCCCGTACTAAACAGAAGGCAGTAAATGATGACAAATGAACATTACTGGGTATGATACAGATGGATGAGGTAAGAAAGGGGGATATTTTCTGTTTACTGATTCATAGTTTGCATTAAAAATAATACCTATAGTACTTCAAAAATTATTTTTAATACCAGTAATTTACCATCAACTCTTATTTATCCTCATTTTAAGAAAGGCAGCAAGAAGTTAACACTTTATTTGTTCATTATCAATATAAAGATTTTTTGTTATTCCTAAAGCAACTTTGATTTTATAGCTATCATAAATTTTATTTTCACTTAATGGGCATAAATATTCCTTCATGTTTAATGCGTAATCCTCTTCAAGGTGTCCTTAAAATTTTTTTCAAAGACTTTTTTTTTTTTAGAGCAGTTTTCGGTTCACAGCAAAACTGAGAGGAAGGTAAAGAAACTCCCCATATGCCCCCTGACACTCTCTGTGCACAATCTCTCTCATTTATCAGTATTCTCCACCAGAGGGTGCATTTGTTTCAATCAATGAACCTACATTAGCACCTAATCATCAAAGTCCACAGTTTACCTTACGTTCACTCTTGGTGTTACACATTCTATGGGTCTGGAGAAATGCATAATGACATGTATTCACCATTATAGTATCACACCAAGTATGAATATTTTCACGGCCCTAAAAATCCTGTGTCCTGCTTATTGGTCCCCCTATTCCCACCCTGAGGTGATTTAATTCTCAAAAAATTTCTTTTGCTTAGGCTAAACTCTGCTGTATAAGCATCATATAATGTGTTCGTCAGAGCCAAAATAAATCACTCTGATGCTACACAAGCTTTTACCAGCAGTATTATTCCATGGATACCAACTGCTAAATGTTTATCCCCTAAGACATTTAAAAAATAAAACTTAGGCCTCAGAAAACACTGACAAAATCATAAACATGAAATGACTAGAATAACTGTCATGACAATCAAAACTACATCTTGAAACACCTCATTATTCTATCAAACCAAAACAGAACACCCTACCTTTGCAATGCGGATACCATTGACCCATTGATGCAGGGTCCTCACATCATCACAACAAAGGTACTTGATGTACTGAGATTTCTTCTGGATCTGTGGGTGCTGCAAGATTAAAGGCAAAGTCCAATTCAGTACCCTGAAGAACTAAAGAAAAACTCTTATCAAAGCTTAAACAGACCCTGACACGTTATAGGTCATCAGAGTTAACAGCCAAAAATAATTTGTACGTCTTATACGGCCATAAGGCCAAATAACATGGCCCATAAGTATTTTTACAAAATAAACTACAAAGCAAGGCCCCTGGGTGGTTCAGTTGGTTTAGCAGCTGACTCTTGATTTTGGCTCAGGTCATGATCTCAACGTTGTGAGATCAAGCCCCTGCTTAGGATTCTCTCTCTCCCTTTCCCTCTGTCCCTCCCCCTGCTCTTTCCCTAATAAATAAATAAATAAAAATAAATTTAAAAAATTAAAAAAAAAATAAACTACAAAGAAACTTGTGTTAAATTTTAGGTCAAGATATGCAAGTTAAAAAATATCTTTACAGCACAGCAAATCCCCAAATACCCCTTCTATATTTCAGAGAAACATAGTCCATCGAGGTTAACAAACTCAACAGAACTCTTCATCTATAAGACTGTGAAAGGGAAGATTTTGATTTCACTTGGAGGCCACTGGAATCAGGAATTCAGAAGACTCCAAACGAGAGGGTGTTTGGTAGAGCTTCTAGTGCTTCTGTGGAGGTGAACCGGTGGGTGGGGTGGGTGAGTGCAGGGCACAGCACCTGGGACATGAGTGGGCGCTCACACCTGGTGCAGTGGTGCCCCCTGTTGTGGACTAAGCACTGCTCTGCACCCCATCTGCCCACAGCACATGCCCTCCAGGGAGTGAGCAGCTTTTCAACTGCATCATCAGATTCAGTTTTCACTTTTCAGCTGCAGTTTGGATGGGAGGTGACTGACTAGACCAGCTATACAATGCAAGTGCTAGAACAGACTTAAGGTATTTTAACTCTACTGGGCCACAACCACTACTTCCCTGGAAAGAAAAACCCTAGATCACACTTGGTTCTGGATGTAATAGTTGTTAGTTATTACTTCTCTTTTCAGTTATTCTGAAAAAAATTTTTTAAATGGCTACATTTTACCTGGGGAAATAGTTAAGATTATGTTAAATTATAAGAGGCTTTAAAGATTCTCTAACCACATTTGTTGTGGAAATCCAGGAGATCAATAAAATAAGCAATTTGGGTAAGTTCTCAATGCTGCAGAAATAGATGACCACCCATATAAGTTATGTATCTGCACTGTTGTAGATCAATCTTGGGGTGCCTGGGTGGCTCAGTTGGTTAAGCATCGGACTCTTGATTTTGGCTCAGGTCATGATCTCAGGGTTGTGAGACTGAGCCCCAAGTCAGGCTCCACACTGGGCATGGAGCCTGCTTAAGATTCTCTCTCTCCCTCTGCCCCTCCGACCCCCCCTGCTCACTCTCGCATATGCTCTCTTTAAAAAAAAAAAAAAAGGTCAATCTCTCTGGTCTACAATGAGAGAAATTTAAATCCATTTATTCTATTCTATACATTGCTATATAGAGCTCAGCTCCTATAATAAAACATTTAATACCAAAACCAATTTAGTTACTAAAGGCTAGAGTGAAAGTTTTAAACAATAAATCATCAACAAAAAGAGGTTGGCAAATGGCATGGATGGAACTAGAGGGTATTATGCTAAGCGAAATAGAGAATGACAAATACCATTTCACGTGGAATGGTGGTGTTTGGTGGATCTCAAGGTTGTGAGATCATATGTGGGATTTTTTTTTTTTTTTAAGATTTTATTTAGGGCGCCTGGGTGGCTCAGTTGGTTAAACGACTGCCTTTGGCTCAGGTCATGATCCTGGAGTCCCGGGATCGAGTTCCGCATCGGGCTCCCTGCTCGGCAGGGAGCCTGCTTCTCCCTCTGACCCTCCCCCCTCTCATGTGCTGTCTCTCTCATTCTCTCTGTCTCAAATAAATAAATAAAATCTTTAAAAAAAAATAAGATTTTATTTATTTATTTGAGAGAGAGAGAGAGCACATGAGAGGGGGAGGGTCAGAGGGAGAAGCCGACTCCCTGCTGAGCAGGGAGCCCAATGTGGGACTCGATCCTGCGACTCCAGGATCATGACCTGAGCTGAAGGCAGTCGCTTAACCAACTGAGCCACCCAGGCGCCCTCATATGTGGAATTTAAGAAACAAAACAGATGAACATGGGGGAAGGGAAGGAAAAATAAAAGATGATAACAGAGAGGGAGGCAAACCCTAAGAGACTCTTAACTATAAGAAACAAACTAAGGGTAGTGGGAGGGAGGATGGGGTAACTGAGTGATGGGCATTAAGGAGGGCACTTGATGTAATGAACACTGGGTGTTATATGCAACTGATGAATCACTAAATTCTACCTCTGAAACTAAAAAAAAAAAAAAAAAAAAAAAAGGAGGTTAGCCAAACAATACTTAACAGTGTTCTCTCCTAATACTATAGGCTCCACAGCCTTCTCTTGGAATATATTCCCTCATCCTTATTAAATCACATTATGATAAACCACCATAGCAATCTTGAAAAAGCAAAGGAGGACAGGTAGAGGAGATATATTTTTCCATAGAATAAGGAAGGGCAATTTTTTTTTTTTTTAAAGATTTTATTTATTTATTTGACAGAGAGAGAGCGAGAGCAGGAACATAAGCAGGGGGAGTGGGAGAGCGAGAAGCAGGCTTCCTGCCGAGTAGGGAGCCCGATGTGGGACTCGATTCCAGGACCCTGGGATCATGACCTGAGCCGAAGGCAGACGCTTAACGACTGAGCCACCCAGGCGCCCAGGAAGGGCAATTTTATCTCATTCATTCATGCAACAGATATTTACTGAGTAAGAACTATTTGCCAGGTCTTTAAGTAGGTGCTGGGATACACTGTGAGCAAAACAGAAGCCCCAGTTCGTGCAGAAAATGGGATGGCTGAGAAAGGGCTTTCGTCAGTATTACCAATTAGGGCTTGAAGAGGGGCGTCACTCAGGCACCACCTACAGGGCAAGGTTTGGACATCTGAACAAGGGGCTACAGGATGGCTCTCAGTCTTTACCACCACTCCCTCTCTTTATGGTGATTCATAAACCATTCTTGACTGATTCCATTTTCTGAGAGCAGGGCTACCCACCACACATGGGTGTTCAACTGTAGCCGTGGCCCTGCCTAAGTGTGTTCTACTTATTCTATACCCTAAGGGAGTGTTTTTATCAACACAACATCAGAGAAAATCAAAGGGAAACAATCCTCTTATCCTTTTCTCCTCATTTCTCTAACCTGGGAATCCAAATACCACCACAAAGAATACTATGATATGACTTTTTTTATAAAAACATTTTATTTACTTATTTAGGGAGAGAGAGAGAGAGCATGCATGCATGCAAGCAGGGGTGGGGCAGAGGGAGAGGGAGACAGAAGAGAATTCCAAGCAGACTGTGCTGAGCAGAGCCTGACAGGGGGCTCAATCTCATGACCTTGAGATTATGACCTAAGCTGAAATCTAGAGTTGGACACTTAACCAACTGAGCCACCCAGATGCCCCTATGATATGCTTAATATTTGCAGGTCACTTGCTAGGTTAAGGTTCATTTTAGGACCCCATAACTTGTCTTTTTCAACCTCCCACAAAATAAAGGCATTCCTTCCTATAGCCTTCATTATGGTCACCCAGGCTCTGCACCAATTCCTCAGGCAGTTCCTTATTCCATCAATATATTCTTTCTTTCTTTTTTTTTTTTTTTTAAGATTTTATTTATTTATTTGACAGAGAGAGAGATAGCGAAAGCAGGAACACAAGCAGGGGGAGTGGGAGAGGGAGAAGCAGGCTTCCCGCCGAGCAGAGAGCCTGATGTGGGACTCGATCCCAGGACCCTGGGATCATGACCTGAGCCGAAGGCAGACGCTTAACGACTGAGCCACCCAGGCACCCTCAATATATTATTTCATTAAAAATGACATTTATTGGGAGGCCTGGCTGGCTCAGTCAGTAGAGGATGCGACTCTTGATCTTGGAGTTGTGAGTTCGAGCCCTACACTGGGTGTAGAGATTACTTTAAAAAAAAAGTGGCATTTATTGAGCACTTAGTATATACCAGGCATTATACTAAATATGTCACATATATTAATTAGCTCATTCCCCCCTCAGGAAAACCCAGTAAGTTACATACTACTATCTTCATCAAATGAAGAGAAACTGAGGCACAGAGGGGTTAAGACAGCACTCTAAGTTGCTCACATATCCATGTTTATTAGTGAAAGAACCAGGATTTGAAACCATGCCACCTCATTCCAAGGCCTGTGCTCTTAATTATGTCCTACTTCTGTCTTATTAGTAGTGAAAGCTGCTTCTTTCAAATGTGCTGCCTCTCTCCTCTTTTCCCCACAATATCACACAAGAGGGGCACTTGGGTGGCTCCGTGGGTTAAGTATCTGCCTTTGGTTCAGGTCATGATCCCAGGGTCCTGGGATAGAGCCCAAGTCAAGTCGGGCTCCTTGCTCAGTGGGGCCCCCTTCCCCCAACTTGTATTCTCTCAAATAAATAAAATCTTTAAAAAAATTTTAAAAATCACACAAGAGCTAAGAGCAAGTACGAAGGAGACATTCTTTGCCAAAAATCAGAAGCTTAACATTTAGATTCTTAAAGATTCCAAAGAGAATATATAATCAAATTGTTCCCCTTAACAAATTAACAGCTATTAAGGAAGAAAGGTCATTATTTCATTTTTAAAATGATGTGGATTTGGAAAGTCTACATTCTCTGATAAAAGATAAAAAACTTGAGAATTAAAAAAAATTTAAGAATGCAGTAAGAAATTCCAGATTACTACTGTACTATCAGGTTATTTTTTTCTGTTTATGCCAAAAATTAGATTGAGACAGACAATTCTTAAAACTCTATAACTAAAAGTGATGCTCTAAAATCACAGTCCAAGTGCCAAAGGAAAACCACTGAATATATACTACCCACTTATTGCTTTGGGAACTCAAATAGGCTTGAAAATTAATTCTCTCACTAACATGCAAGAACTTAAAAAACAAAGTATGTAGCACTCCATCCTGTTACTTCTACCATTATTACATATAACATCTTTCTTTTAATAACAGTGTTTGAAAAGTTCATGTTCATATTCTACCTCTAATCTCTAACCATTTTTTCCTTCTTACCTAACATACTGAAATAAATTACTTTGCCTCATTTCTTTTAGGAATGAAAAATTAGACATGGCTAAGGTGAGCTGTATTCCAACAATTACTGTGGTGTATGTATTTTAAAAACACAGGTTTCCTTTTAGAAACTTATATATGTGCATACACATATGTCCAACAAGCACATACCTCTTTCAGATAATAGATAACATATATCTATTTATTCCCTCATTGTCATATTTCATGAATAAGCTCTTGCCATCATTTTTATTACTACCTTTAAAAAAAACTAATTACTAAACTGTGCTTTATTCCTCCCTACAAATATATTTCCTGTATCCTGCATTTTACTGGAAGAACTCAGACTCAAATTGTTACAGCCCAAGCCTGATAAATAGGGTTAAACCCTATAAATATTTATATTTGCATAGATCTTGTGTGGCAGCATTTTTTGGTTTGTTAGAACTCATATGCACAAGAATAAAAATACTTACATAGGCAAAATCTAGTAGAGACCTTTCAGGAAAAAAAATACCAATAGTTGTGTGGCATCAGGAACACTGATCCCTCTAAACCTCAGTCTCCAGATCTGAAAAATGGGGACTCTGGAACGGATCCGTGACACGAGTGCACAGTGCTTCTAGTGCACTGTCTGCCACTCTAGAGGCCTTCGGTCAATGATAGCCATTATTTTTACTACTATTTGTGCCTAGTGGTGTGGTTTATTTCAATACCTTGACTATTTCTAAATATAAATAAGTAGGCAATATGAACATATGAATTTAGCTTAACCTACTTTACTAAAAGCAAATATGAAATACCTAATTATATAAACCAACAAAAACCCCTTGGAACAAAAATATTCTTAACCTAAGAATTCTATGAGTTGCAAAAGGGATTAAAATAATAGTCAGTGGTCATAATTAATTTTGGCTGTAACACATACTGCTGGTTGCCTTCCCCACAACTATCCCCTCTTCCCTACTTCTTTTCTTAAAGAGCCCCAATTTTGTTTGGATGTCTGTCTACCCGTCATGTCAGGGTGTGAATTCTAACTAGGCTAAGCCAAAAACACTGGAATAAACTTAACCAAGGAGGTGAAAGACCATACTCCAAAAACTATAGAATACTGATGAAAGAAATGGAGGTTAACTCAAGGAAATGGAAAGACATTCCCGGCTCATAGATTGGGAGAACAGATATTAAAATGCTCTTACTACCCAAAGCAATCTACAGCTTTAATGAAATCCCTATCAAAATACTAATAGCATTTTTCACACAACTAGAATAAATACTAAAATTTGTGTGAAACCAAAAAAGATCCCAAATAGCCAAAGCAGTCTTGAAAAAGAACAAAGCTGGAGGTATCATAATCCCAGATTTGAAGATACACTACAAAGCTGTAACCATCAAAACAGTATGGTACTGGCACGAAAAAAGACACACAGATCACTGGAACAGAATGGAGAGCTCAGAAATAAACCCATGCTTATATGGCCAATTAATCTATGCCAAAAAAGGCAAGAATATACAATGGGGAAAAGATGGTCTCTTCAACAAATGATGCTTGCTGGGAAAACTGGATAGCTACATGTAAAAGAATGAAACTGGGCCACTTTCTTACACTATCCACAAAAATAAACTCAAAATGGATTAAAGACCTAAATGTGAGACTTAAAACCATAAAACTCCTAAAAAGAAAATACAGGCAATAACCTCTTGGACATCGACTCTACAACATATTTTTGAATTATGTCTCTCTCCTCAGGCAAGGACGAATAAAAGAAAAAATAACTATTGGGACTACATCAATATAAAAAGCTTTTGCACAGCAAAGGAAATCGTCAGCAAAACAAAAAGGCAACCTACTGAATGGGAGAAGATATTTGCCAGCGATGTGTCCAATAAGGGGTTAATATAAAGAACTTTACAACTCAATCCCCCAAAAATAATGTGATCAAAAAATGAGCAGAGGATCTGAACAGAATTTTTCCAAAGAAGACATACAGATGGCCAACAGACAGATGAGAAGATGCTCAACATCACTGGTCATCAGGGAAATGCAAATTAAAACCACAATGAGATATTACTTTACACTTGTCAGAATGGCTAAAATGAAAAACAAAAGAAATAACTAGTGTGGGCGAGGACATAGAGAAAAAGGAACCCTTGTGCACTGCTGGGAGGAATGCAAGCTGGTGCAGCCACTGTGTTAAACAGTATGGAAGTTCCCCCCCACCACAAATTAAAAATTACCATATGATTCAGTAATTCCACTACTGGGTATTTACCCAAAGAAAACAAAAACACTAATTCAAAAAGTTATATGCACACTTATGTTTACTGCAGTATTTACAATAGCCAAATTATGGAAACAACCCAAATGTCCATTGATAGATGAATGGATAAAGAAGATATATATATACACACACCCACCCACTCCCCCTACACCCCCCCACACACAATAGAGTATTACTCAGCCATTAAAAAAAAGGTGGGGGGGAATCTCGCCATTTGCAACAACAGATTGACCTAGAGTATATAATTCTAAGTGAAATAAGTCAGTAAGAGAAAGACAAATATCGTATGATTTCACTCATCTGTGAAATTTAAGAAACAAAGCAAATGAATGAAGGAAAAAAAGACAAAAAACTAGACTCAAATACAAAGAACTGGTGACTAGCGGGGACAGGGTGGGGGGGGTGCGTGAAATAAAAGAGATGAAGGGCACACATTTATCTTGATGAGCAATGTATGAATTGTATGAATCATTACATTATACACCTGAAACTACTATAACACTATGTTAATTATGCTTCAATTTAAAAAATAATTTAAAAAAAAGTGGACATGTACTCAGGCCAATGACTCTCAAGAGGAGGACTCAGGAGGTAGCTCCCAGGAAATATTTCCTCCCACTTGAGAGAGACAAGTACAGCGAGAAATAGTCCCTCCTCTTCTGCTGGAAAGAGACAAATATACAGAGAAATAGCCATCTTCTTCTGCTGGATTTTGCTAGACCCATTGCATGGATCCATCATCCGTGTGATGCCTACAACTGCAGTGGGTCATCTGTAACTGTGAGGTGAGCCAGCCTGAGGATAAGCTGATATGCAGAAGATGGAAGAGGGAAAGAAGGAAAGAACTTGGGTTCTTACTGACAACCCTGAACCACTGAAATAACCAACTCTTGCTGTCTTCATGTTATGAGGATCCCCGCCAAATAACTTTGATATATATGGATTATGTCTACTGATATTTACCATCTAAGAAGATTAGAACTAAGAAAAATTTAAAATATGAGAACATACAAGTATTTGTTCCACTACGCAAGAGAGCAAAGATATCATCATATCATGTAATCTCTTAGAAAACTCCATTATACGTTTATGAGAGAATGAGAGTGTAAGAGGCAAGTAACATCTCAGCATTACTGGAATAATAATTTTGACTCACAGACCCCTTGACAGAGTTTCAGGGACTCCCAGGGGAGCTTGGACTTCATTTTCAAAACTGCCAGATTAAGCTACTTCGTAATGACTTTTGGAAAATTATTTGCTGCTGTAACCTAAAGGATATAGTGGTATTCTCCAAAAAAGGATTATTTAATAAAGAGGCAGCATTACAATGGTATTTTTATTTTTATCAAAGCAATCAAAAACTCCACCCCAAAACCCCAAACCCAACTGATAACTCTCAGAGAAAAGCAAAGTCAAACAATGATATAAACATATAGACCTAAGTAGTTACCAAGAGGTGACTAAAATAGAGCCAATGAGAAAAACTTAATCATCTCCATAATTATCTTTTTTTTTTTTTTCCTTTAAGATTTAATTTATTTGACAGAGAGACACAGCGAGAGAGGGAACACAAGCAGGGGGGGTGGGAGAGGGAGAAGCAGGCTTCCCGCCAAGCAGGGAGCCCGATGCAGGGCTTGATCCCAGGACCCTGGGGCCATGACCTGAGCCGAAGGCAGATGCTTAACAACTGAGCCACCCAGGTGCCCCCTCCATAATTATCTTGAATTTTAAAACATTGTCTTTATCAGTAGCATCAATTTAATTAGGGCTATTTAGCTAGAGGTCAGCTGTGGTGTAAGCACATACTTCTTTTCCTTACCATTCTTCACCATTCCTTTAAAAGCCTATAGAAAAAGCAAAAACAGTATACTTGATAGAGATACAAACTGTTCTAAAATGTCCAATAACTCACTCTATGTCTAACATCAATTAAAATTCCTAAAAAGGGAATGTGTTTACCTTTAGCACCAGACAATAATCTGTAGGTGCTTTGTATTTGTTCCGGTAGTCCTGTCCATAATAAACATTGACATGATCCAGTTGGAGAAAGCATACCAGTTCCCTAGAGACCTAAGATAAAACACCAAAAAGACTGAATTAACAATAATGTATAAACAAGCAAATATCATACCTGGTCATAGTTTCTAGTTGAGAATAAAAACTTTACCAAGTGGAAACCAATCTATTTTGCAGATGACAAGACAGTGAGATTCTCTATTACTGTTCCTTCTTTAACCCAGGATACAACAAAAAAGCAGTCCATTTCACTTACTGTCTGCCGTTCACAATGAACACAGACTTGCTTGGAAAGGGTGGCATTTTAAGAAGACTTTAAATATAATACAGCATATTAAATACAATATAGTATATAGTAGAGTGCTGGAAAAAAACAAGAAAATATCATGTAGTTCGGTGCTCATAATGCATATCTCAAGTACAATGATTCTCAAGTCAGGGTTTCCTCACCTTAAATAGAGGAAACAAAATATGCCTCTCGGGAGGGTGGTAAAGCCTGGATGAGAGGATGCTGTAAGGAGTTTAAAATAGTGCGGGCCCTCAGCAGGAGCATATTATCCAAGAAAGGCTGAAATACCTATAATCCCAGAAAGCTATTCTCCCCAAACAATAACAAGCAAAAACTACTGACAGAAGTTCTGAAAATAAATAAAAGTATGACTTCAAATGTGGGAAGAGAACTGAAATGGGCCCAATGAATGACCAGAGAGTGAACATGTCCAGGTTTCTTCTTCTTTATAATAGATCAATAAACAAAGCAAAGCAATATTCTGTGTGTCCTACAACAGCTGAAACAAGGGACACCTGGGTGGCTCAGTTGGTTAAGCATCTGCCTTCGGCTCAGGTCATGATCCCAGGGTCCTGGGATCGAGTCCTACATAGGGCTCCTTGGTCAGTGGGGAGCCTGCTTCTCCCTCTGCCTGCCGCTCCCCCTGCTTGTGCTCTTTCTCTCTTACTCTATGACAAATAAATAAAATCTTTAAAAAACAAAAAAAGAGTTGAAACAAATCAGAGCCTGGATTCATCTTGTCAGCATACTTACTACAAATTAACTGTCATAATGAGGAAGCTCAAAAGTCAGCAGAGGGGACACACCTTTGCTTTTCCTTTAGGGACATAGTAGATACCAGATGCTCGCAAGAGAAAATAACGCTTTTTCCATGACTTTTTGCCATCATCTTTCAACCACAGGACTCCTTCAATTTCTGGTACAGTTACAGAACTTCCACAAAAACATTCCTAAAATAAGAAGATGATTTGGAAAGACATGTGATCTTTGGATTCTCAGAACAAAATTGTGTTAACTCCTGTGAAGTTCATACTATAATTAAACCAAATGGCTTTGGTATTAAGGCCACATTGCTAATATTACCTAAATTAGAACTTTGTATTCTAAACATATAGATTCATTTTGAAACTACTATGGCAATCCCTATGAACTTTTACCTAACATTGTTTTGAAGAATCTAAATTGAATTGTCAACTGAGCTGCATACAAGAGGAGTTAAATGCATCTGTACAGCATAGTAACACTAAATTTAGTAAAAGTGTCAGTTAACGTAAGCATTAGACTTTATTTTTCTCCAAATTAACAACATATTTAGATTAACTATCAAACCAAATTTGTTTTAAAAAGCAACATGCTAAGTGAATAAACACAATTTAAAAACTGTATCAATTTATATGATTCTAACACAAAGAGGACATTTATTTTTTAAATATTTAAAACTAGGTTGAAAGGAATGTAAACAAACTCAAAATTATGAATTCTAATGTCTGTACTTAGATAAAAATGTAATTAAAAAATCAATCATGTATTTGGTAAAAGAAAAATAGAAATCCTCACTAAATATTAACATAGGACATTTTGAGCCTAAATTAACTTCTCTCTTCCCAAAGTACAGAGAAACCACGAATTATAAAGAGGATTTTTAATTGTAGCTATTATCACTATGAAAAGCTGAGTGCTGATCTTCATCTTCCTAGCTGCCTTATTGCTAAGAATTTATTCTGGTTTTCAAACATACTAAATTCTTTGATTTTAGTTCTCTAAAATCAGCAAAGGCTAAAAAGCTAAAAACTGAATTATGTTTGAATTTGTTTTATTAAAAATAAGGGGATGTGTGTGTGTATAAAATGATCATTATGATTTTTTTAATTGAGTTAAAGCTAAGGCTTGAAATATTTTGTAAATAACTAGTATATTCAAATTTCTCTCTAGGTGAGCAGATAAAGCACCAAAATCATGTCCTTCATTGAGCAGCCTTTTTCCCCACTTGTCTGCTCCTAACAGCTCATGACTCCTTTTAGTCCACTAATATATTACTTGGCAAAATAACAGTTTTTAAGAGGTTCTTCAGTGGCCTAACATTCACACAGCTGAACTCTCCCCCTCAGGCTATGGAGGAATATAGGCTTCTCTAGTTACAAGTGTAATTATGAATATAAAGCATTGACATACTTGACTTTAAAAAAGGTGCTTAATATTTTAATATTGTAATGTGCAGGAAAAAAATGGGGGCGGGGGGAGTGAAGAGTCATACCTCCAATAGCACTTCTTTGTTTCTATCTGCCATCTCGGCAGTTTCCTTTTTCCCCAGAAGATAATTCTGGAAAAATAAATAAAGTTAAAGATAAAACCACCCTATTATTCCCTTGGCACAGGTGCATATATGATTTCTTCTAGAGATACAGCAACTGTGTCTGCCTGTATAGAATGACAGGAATACTGCGTTGAACATTAACTTGTGCCTGAGCATCACTGCTAAAATGCTTAATGCTGGCCTTCTCCTTACTTTAACCATTATCTGGAAATATTCCATAAACTGCCCTCCCCCAAATCCTGGGATGATACCACATCCAACAGCTGACAAATGTTATGTACAGCTAATGAAAGGACCTGAAAGGTTTACAAATTAAGTACAATGAGTAAGGTAAATTTCCTTAAAATATGCTAAGCTTAACTGACCCAGATGCAGAAAATTTATGTTCTGGCTTTGAAAGAAATCCCCAATTCTCTGAGACTATCATAATATCACTTGCTTGCCTCAACTAAAATCCGAATTCTATTAGCCTTATAAAAAACTTCTTTGTAATCACCTATAAAAAAATCCACTGGTATTCCCAAATGTGTATTATTCACTAAAAGTATCCAGTAAAGATGTGTCATGATTAAGCTGTCTGAAGGATATTTAATACTTTTAACACTGCTACTATTTTTCATTACTACTTTTTCTCTCACTTACTGATTTTTATAAAATATTTGTATATTATAAATTATTAACTCAAACATTATTCTGGAATAAACAAAGATGCCAAATAAATAAAGGTAAATATATTAAAAGTGGAACCACTTATAATCAAGGTTATTGAAATTTAAAAAAAAAAAATTTAAGTGCCAACTGGATAAATGGAGAAAGTAGAGAACTTAAATATGTAAGTACTTTTCTTTGATGGATGAGAAGCTCACCAAGTAAACAGCTGTGTTGAACAGCTCTGGATTACAAAAAAGCAGAAACCTGGTAACTCCCTGGAGTTACTTCTGCTGCCCTAAGGGCTCACTCCATCTGGCTCTGGGTGACTGGTAATCTCTTTGAAGCCTGACACTTGGGCCCCAGAGGACTTTCCACCTCAGTGGAAGTAGTAAATGGAAGCAGTTACTACTCCCATAGTAAATGCTCCCATGGGGTTTTGCAATCACAATGCTCCAACCAGGTGGTTGCCAGTTTTTTAGCTCTATTAACTTAAAAGTAATAGAATATTATAAGATGAACATTTAGAAATCATGATCTCTAAGATATTTGGCCTCACCTGTGGGTTTTTGAAAAGTGCATATTTTTCTATACGTTCCATAAATACAAGCTTGTTTTGGCTATCTCTTGTCCAATTAAGAAGATTTTCAACCAAGTTTTCATGGTCTTCAAAGATTCTCTCTGTCCCAAGATAAAATATCAGTACTTTGTTAGTATTCATCAGAACTGCATCAAAGACATGAAACCTTGTGAAGTAATTCCAAGCAAAACCACAGAATTTTACTTGACATTATAGCTCTTGGCCCTTAGAAATGATCTAGTCTTCCCTCTATTTTCAAATAAGGAAACATGCCCACTGTGTTAACTGACTTCAGCAAAGTCACACAACTGCTATATGGAAGAATCAGGACTAAAATCTAGGTCTTCTGTTAGGTTTTCCTCAGCCTTCAGCCTTCTCCCATCCACCCTTGAAAAAACAAAAACCAGGGGTGCCTGGGTGGCTCAGCCAGTTAAGCATCTGCCTGAATATTCAGCTCAGGTCATGGTCTCAGCTCCTGGGATCGAGCCCCTCCCTCCAGCTCCCTGCTCAGTGGAGAGTCTGCTGCTTCTCCCTCTCCCCCAGCTCATGCTCTCTAAAATTAAAAAAAAAAAAAAAAAAAAAAGACACTGTAGCCAATTACATAAAAGGTAGTAGAGAAATATTATATATATGGGTCTTTAACCTACAGCCATGGACATATTCCAAAAATTAGTATCCAAACATTTTCTGTATATCATGATTCCACATCTATGAACTCAAACCTTTCTAATTCTCTAAGAATAGTTATGAGTATTATTAGAATACATTTTATACATGTTAATAAACTAATAACTTATGTTTTAGTTTTGGGAGCTATGTTTGTACATTCTGACACAAAAGGGTTATCAAATTTTTATTTCTCTGGAAACCACTGTGAAATATTTAAATAGGTACTAAGGGCAATGCAAATACTTTTTAAATTAAAATATAAAGTTGAAATTGATTACTGATTCAATAATACCTAATAAAATAACAATTGCCAGGTTGCTATAATCACACAATATTATAAAAAGAAAACTTTTTTAAGAGTCAATGATGGCATTAAAAATGAGGAATTTTTAAAATTAGAAAACACCACACTGGGACGCCTGGGTGGCTCAGTTGGTTAAGCCACTGCCTTCGGCTCAGGTCATGATCCTAGAGTCCTGGGATCAAGTCCCGCGTCGGGCTCCCTGCTCAGCAGGGAGTCTGCTTCTCCCTCTGACCCTCCCCCCCTCTCATGCTCTCTCTCTCTCAAATAAAAAAAAAAAAAAAGAAAACACCACACTAAACTATAAATCATAGGAAATTAAGATTTAGTACATCTAGCTAAAAATAAAAAAGATAGGCTTTGTGTTTTCCCTAAAAGTCAAATGCTGGTATAAGAAATTCAGAACAAATGTGAATAAATAGAATGGTCTTAGTAAATGTGTCGAAAAAGTATTTTGTTACTTTAAAAAAAAAAACTGTTTTAGCCATAAGACGATCTGAAGTGAACTGGAAATGATCTTGTATCCAAAGAAATCTCAAAATACTTGGAGGAAAAAAAAGACAACGTAAAAAGCTAAGGCTATATACAGGAAAAAAAAGATGACTCAAGGTGCTTTAGTTAACATGAAAACTGTTAGGATTGCATAGAAATTAAAAAGTAAATAAAGCAATTAGATTACTAACCCATTTGTAATTCAGAGATGGTTTCTACCAGCGACCAGTCTAAACTATAACCGCAGTGGGATTTGTCCATTAGGTTATCCAGCACTTGTCTCACTGTCTGCCTCTCATCCACCATCATTGTTTTAGAACTATCGTCAGACATGTGGACTCTAATCACCAACTATAACAGGTAAAAAGGAAATTAAATACAAACCAAAAACTAGGCATTCTAGAAATTTCTTCCAATATCAAGTCATCTTCTGAGTAATGTTGTTCTTAGTTAAATATAAAACACAAAAAATGACTTTATTATGCAAGAAGGATATTCTAAAATTAGGTATCAAATAACCTACCTAAACAAATTGAAAGCATTTTTAAAATTATAATAACAGGTAAGATTATAATAAGACTGTTTTGTTTTACTTTTTTAGGAAAATTTAAAACAAAGTTACTTCTTTATAATAACATTTTATCTACAAAAAACATATACGAAAAATATATTAGGAAGAAATATCCCTCTACCTCTCTGTATCTTTAAGGTATGTTATATAAACAAGGCAATTCTTTATAAATCTGATAGAAAAAAACTGATAAAAAAAATCCCAAACAAGGAAAAAGCCCAAATATCACCTTTTTCACTTGTGCCTCTTTAATTTTCTCCAGGGCAACTCTGATCTTCTCAGCTTTCAATTTTGCTGCCTGTTCTTCCTGTGAACACAAAGCACTGCAGATAAACTAATGCTAAAATAATGAGAATTTTTGAAAACTCTTTTTATCTTAAGGATGTTGCCAGTATTGAATTTCAGTAAGAACATAACTTCACATACTTACATAGAGCACATTTAAAAAAATAACCCTGTTCACAAAGTGAGAACAGACATAGTACACAAAGGAACATTTTTAAGATGCAGATTTGAAGATCTCTTATATTAAGAGACCAGATTCCATCTTCTAGAGAAAAAGAAATCTGTGATATAGCAAATTAATGAGTTTGATTCTGTCAATCTGAAGCAGATGAATTTCAGACAGAAGAAACAGGAGTGTATATCCCGTTTGCCATACCTGCACAGTCCCTTGACTCTGAATTTATACCCGCCTCTGAAGTATGAGCATTCTTTTGCATACTAATGTTTTGTTCTGTTATACTGAAAATGTATCATCACCATAAAACAGCAAAAAACAGTATCAATTTATTTCTTTGCAACCACATAAAAATCCTTAAAAAAAAATATAGGTATGTTCTCATCAATATACCAATGCAAACAAAGGAGGATGCATTATACTCTAGGTTTCATTCTGTTTTGAAAAGTACACAATATAATCAATGTCTCATGTTAGTAAACTCAAATTTGTTTCTATTAATTCACTGATGAAATTTTTAAAATGCTAAATATAATTTTCCAAATATTTAATTTCTAGTGACTTCTTTATAAAATTTAGATTATAAGTAGTAATAAAATTATCAAGAACTATAATTATAGTCATACCATTTATTTTTTCCTAAAATAACACAGAGTATTGTAATACCGGTACTTACTTGTACTTTCCAGCAATAGGCCATTGTACGCTGTAGCCTTAATCTCCAGTTGAAAAAAACTCATGTAAGTAAATCTTCGCCTTTTATGAAGGATTACTTTCTAACTCTAAGCTTTTGATTACTCTGGAAAATATCTAAGGAAAATACACACTGCCATCTTATATATTCCTATATTTAATATAAGACTTAAAACAAAGACCTAGTTATATCAGCCAATTTTATTTGCTCTGGATTATGATTAAAAACCATCCATTTCATACTCTAGGCTATCTTCCCTCATTGCAAGCTTAGTAGTTACTACTCCGGAGAACAGAGAAAACAGTAGTTAGAGAAGACAGTGGGCTTGTTTGCCAGAAATCGGATCCTTTTCAATGAAAGGAGCCAGTGAATTAACATAATAACCAAGGTGTGGAAATACTATCTGTAAACCCAATTAGAGAACAAAGAACTTTATTTTAACAATGGAGGGGGTAAGATAAGACTTGATTCTTAGTCTATTACAGATATAGTCATTTGATTAAAAGATCAAATCATTGTATCCCTGCCTTTATGCAAATAAACAACGTAATTATAAAATATGTTGCCTGTGTATTTTAATAAGTTATTTTTTTCTTTTTAATGCAGGCTATACAATGAGAAAACTACACTACTGTCATTAAAACTCTCAGTTTCTGGAATAATGTGTCTTAGATAAACAAATCATTGTTAGTTAAATTACCAAACCCTGTGTTTCTGATGAGTATAGCACAAACTCTAGAAAGGAATTTTGAATACTACCATTTCCCAGTGGTTTCATGAAACCAGCTGACAGGTTTTTTTTGGAAGAGAAAGAGCGAAGCAGGAGATTTATGAATGTTTTCTCAATGGGATAATGATCTTCTGTTTCTCATGGCTCATTTGCCACATCTTTGTATTAGTATGAATGACTGTTACAGAGAGGAAAAATTTACCAAGGCATATTTTCAAGTTTTACTTCATGTCTCTGAAAAGCAAATTTAAATCTCAAAGTCTGATAAGGAAAGACTGATACATAAAATCAATGCTTTGTGTATTTGGAATATAAACATGGACTTCTAAAAGGCCAAGTTCTTTTATAACATAATTTTTCTGCAGAAGTTAAAAAAAAACTCAAGAAAATGAACAATCCAATAAAAAAAGGGTGTTCTAAAAGACATGAACAGACAACTCAGCAAAGAAGATACACAGGTAGCAAATAAGCCCATGAAAAGATGCTCAATATCATATGTCTTTAGGGAACACCAAATTAAAACGAGATTATCACTATATATCCTATTAAAATGGCCAAAATCCAAAACACTGAAAACATCAAATGGTGGTGAAGTAGAGGATCAACAAGAACTCACATACATTGCTGGTGGGAACGCAAAATGGTAGAGCCACTTTGGAAGATAGTTTGGCCGTTTCTTATAAAACTAAACGTGCTCTTACAATATGATCCAGTAATGCTCCTTAGTACCTATCCAAATGAGGTGAAAACTTACCTCCATCCAAAAATCTGCACACAGGTGCTTCTAGCAGCATTATTTATTTATTTATTTATATTTTTATTAGCAGCTTTATAACTGCTAAAACTTAGAAGCAACCCAGATAGCCTTCAGTAGGTGAATGGGTAAACTGTGCTACATCCAGCCAATGGAATATTACTCAATGCTACAAAGAAATGATCAAGCCATGGAAAGACATTGAGGAAACTTAAATGCATATTACTAAGTGAATGAAGCCAATCTGAAAAGGCTGCATACTATATGATCCCAACAATATGACATTCTGAAAAAGGCAAAACTATGGAGAAGGTAAAAAGATTAGTGGTTGTTAGGGGTTGGGGAGAAGGAGGGATGAATAGATGGAACACAGCACTTTTGTAAGAGTGAAGCTATTCTGTATGATACTACAATGGTAGATACATGTCCTTAACACATTTGTTGAAATCCACGGGATGTACAACATGAAGAGGGAACTCTAATGTAAACTATGGACTCGGGGTGATAATGATGTGTCAACAAAGTTCATCAGTTGTATCAAATGAACCACTCTGGTGGGGGATATTGATTATAGGGAGGCTATACATGTGTGGGGGCAGGTAGTATAAGGGAAATCTTTGTACCTTCCCCTCAAATTTACTGTGAATCTAAAACTGCTCTAAAAAAATAAAGTTTATTGTTAAAAAAGAATATACAAATTTAAATATTACATTCTGATATTGGTTATAAATATAAAAATAGTATTTTCATACTCCCATTTTAGTGTAATCTTATTTGCCAAATACAACAGAACACAACCAGCGCTATCTTTTGAAGGACTGATATAAAAGGCATTTAATTGTAAGATTAGTTTAAACTAAGTTTCTGTTCTACAGGCTAACAGGAAAAATATTGACACGGTGAAAGAAAGGATAAAAGAAACGAGATTCAGTGCAACCATTTAACATACGTTAAACAAATTAGATTTCCTAGCCATCAATAAGAAACCATCTTTTTGTAAAGCACCTAGGTGGGGCTATTTTAACATCCAAATTTAGCTCTTCCATTTGCTCAAAATACTACTCTTTAATAACTACATAAATTGATCTGTTTTAAAAGTGTATAAAATTCAAATTTAGGAGCTCTGTGCTTAATTTCAACCTAGGCCAATTTTGGTTTATTCTTCTCCAGTTTATTAACAAGGATGATCCTTGCTAGAAGCTTTCTGAAGAAACAACTGATCAAGATACCTCTTACTTTTAGAGTCTGAATATCATCACTGGAGCAAAACTGAAAATAAAAATAGTTATATCAAACTGCAAGATTCATAGTATTTTAGGCTTCCATAACCTCTTCCTCAGAAAGTTTGATTTTCACCTACATTACCATGGTATATTCATATCTTTACTTTTAACCATTACAACCTAGGGGGAGGAAGAAATTGTTTTAAGCTCATAAAGTATGCAATATAGGAAAGATCAATAAATCTTTGCTGATGTGATTAGACTATACAGGAAGAAGACATCTCTTAGTTTACTTGTAAAGGCAATGTAAATCTATGTTCAATGTCTGCAGCCTAATTTCAATACAATGAACAAAGCTTTATTCATCTCATGTTCTCTTTTTGCTAATGCAGACAACCTCTGGTCTTAAGCCTTCTGCCCCCTTATCTTCTGACTATCCCTTTCTTCACGTTGTTTGTCCCACAGCCATCCTCAACATAAGTAAAAGATATCTTACACATATAACAACTTTGTCTTCTACCCTGTCTCTTAAAAGAGCAAAAGACAACCCATTTTCTACCTGAAAAACTCCTGTGCAGCTATCAGTAACCATCAAATGCCAAGCCTCCTCAAATTTACATAAAGAACAAAAACTCAGTGAAGATTTTAGGATTAAATGAAAGGGAATGCTGTGGTTACAAAGTGTTAAAGCATTCTCTTGAGTTTAAAAATCAGAATACTGACAGGAAGAGTGACAGTTGCTAAGAGATGGCCAGTGAATTCCTTCAACTAAAAAATTATTAAGGCTTCGTAGGTTCAGAACAAATCCAGTTGAAATTAAGGGGCTCAAAAGGAATTAGCAGTTTCTTTAGGATCTAGTTTATTTCACACTTTACAGCAATAAAAAAAATTAGATAAATTTAAAAAGGTTCAAAGAAAACTTGGGAGTGGTAAGTTCACCGCCCATGAAATGCTCTACTCTATAAAATTACTTAGAGCCAGAATAGTAACAGTAACAACTACTTTACTTCCCTGACATTGATAGACTTTCACTGAGAAGAGAACTAACATCAACTGAACACCTAAAACCTGCCACACACTATGAGGCATGTTACACACGGTATCTCATTTAATTCTCAATAATGCAAGGCCAATATCACTATTATACATTGTACTGATTAAGGCTCAGAAAGACTAATCTTTCTAAGATCAAACAGGCAGTTACCCAATGACTAACTACTTGCTCTCTCCACTAGCAGTAAGTAAAAACTACTTGTCAAAAATGAAAGACTTATAGTAATGTAACAGCACTTTTATAACTTCTCTGAAGCAAAGAAAAATGGTGGTTAACATTACAACAGTTCTTGAAGGTCACTAAAGGACCATTCTGTGACAGATGTTTGTGGAGACTGTGCAGGCTTGGGTCTGACTGCAGGGGATAGAGTTCCTGCTTTCAAGGAGCTTACG